AGCGGAGGGCAGGAATCGTCTCCGAGACGAGAGCACAAAAAAGAATCAGACCAGAACCAGTTCTCAATTTTCAAAGAAAAGAGCTGCAAGTGGCAAGAATTAGGTTCTGACCTGAACTACATGTAGCTCGTTTCAAAGAAACGCGCAAGCTCGATTGCAGCGAAAGGTTACAAGCTGTTGCAAAAACGTACCATTTGTCACGTAAAAACATATAACACATTCGTGCAATTAGTTGCTAGTGAACACCTTTTAAAAATATTTGAATGAGAATGCTATATTTTGCTAAAAAAAAAGTGAAATACACAGAAAAAAAGTAGAGATAAATAAATCTACGTTCTCCCAAAACAATTAAGTGTACTAAAATATGCTGTTTTGCTCACTGTATGGATACAGCCAAGGAAAGATTTGGAAAGATTTGGAAAGATTGCTCTTTGAAATACAGTTAACGTTCCTTTCAAGAAGAACTATAGTACTGTAATGACCATGGAGCGCTTAAAGGTAACCACATCTGTCAAGATTTGTAATCCTGGCTGGTATTCACAAATTGTCACTAGTAGCAACATGTTTATTCACAAGAATCAAATCCAAATGAAAGATGAAACTCAAAAGAGGATACAGTTCATTTCTGGGTGAGAGTTATCCTTCTTTTGTTTTACAAATTATGTGAATGCTTATAGCCATCAGAAAAAAAAATGTGCTAACCAAAACTGTGGACAACCGTTTGTGAATATAGGTCATTGTTACACCAACTAGCCTACCAGCATTTAGCTAAGTGCTTGTGGAGGAGTACAGTACTGTTAAGATTTCTCTAAGGATTGTGTCATCCTGATACAGTGTGTCATACCCAACATGACCTTTTACATAAGCAAGAAAAGTATTTCACATTCATGCAGAAGCTAATTACATGACGCAGAAAGGTATTCTCTGAACAGATAAATTACAATATGTCCTTATAGAAACATTGTCACATTGTCTCACACTGACACAGTATGATACACCTTCACAGGTCAACATTACTGCAAAAGTTGATCTAATGTTTGAAAAAGGGCTATTTTTTTCTGTATGCCGTTGCTAGATGACCAGATAACAGCTACCAATGAGATTCTCTGAATGATGAATATTTTACACAATGGGTGTGTCAAGTTATTTTGTCAGATCTAAAAGGGACTTGGATATTGGATCAGAATTGTTTCCTAAATATTTCATTAAATTAAATTTAAGATAAAATTTGCAAGCTTGGTTGAATGATAAAACTCTGTACAGGTGCTTAACTGACACTCCCACCTCTAAGAAAGCTACAGTAGTTACCAGAATGTACAGAGGCTTCTATGAAAATTATATCTTACTGGGACTTTTCAAACGTTTACTTCCTCATTTCAATGTAGGTCAACTCGAATGTATAATTCTAGGTTGTGCTTTATTCGTGATACTAAATGGTTGTTATTGCTTTTGAATCAGAAGTCTTATTTTCGTTAGAGAGTGGGAAATGAAAATTAAGGCTTGAAAGCTTTGCATCGGCGACCAACAAAGAGTAAACACTGGAAGATTTTGTTTTTTTAAGGTGTGCCATTAATACAAACACAAGAGGTGTGCGTGCCTACCAAAAAAAAGTCGGTTTTCGAATAGCTGAGACAAGCAACAGGCATGAAGCTCGGTCAAAAGAAATGAATTATTTATATCATTTATAAAGCGCTTTTCATCCCAAAGGATCCCAAAGCACTTTACACATCAGAGAGGACTTCATGAGCCACAGAACGGCAGCACCCACCTGGGTGAAGCACAGCTGTCATTACGTACCAGCAACCAGCCTAAGTGACAGGAGTGAAGCTGACAGAATACGGTATGCTCAGTGTAGGGGTTGCCAATGACATGATGGTGTGGGAATTCTCTCTCAGGCCTGGAATATGTGTGTCCCCCAGGGCCGTTTCAGGCTACAGACACTTTGTAGGTGATCTCCGGAGCTATCAGGAGAAGAGTCTGCGGCCTCATCCTGCTTAGCAGTAACCCACAATCAGTTACAGATAGCCGACTGCAGGCTCCATCCCTTATTGTCTCTGAAAGCAACTTTTACTCCGTCTGTCTGGGTCTGCTGGCCATAGAGTCACAGTTTCTCATGCCAGCAACACCCTATGATTGAACCCTTTTCGTCTTGAGCACGGGTTACTGAGCATGGGTAAATTTCCAATGTGGTTACCAGATTTGTTTTACTGCATCACAAGCCAGGAGCAATTTGGAAATCGTGTGAGCTTTGTGGAACATATACTGTTTCTCTCACACAAACCGAATGAAAATATTTTTTAAATTGACTTCCACAGCTAATGTCAAAAACGCTAATTAATGCAGTTATACCTGATGATGAAGAGGCCCCCCACACAGGTCCTCCTGAAACACTCACCAGTTCATGTTGTCCTTAATGTCTTTCTCATGCCTGTCTTTGATAACCCAGTCAAAGTTTTGACACTGCAGCTACTCACAGATTGATAAAGCCAGATGTCTGAAGACCAAGCAAGATAAACTCTGTAATGAGGTGCCCTGATTTACAAATACACCTTGTCCTCTGAATGAGTTTCCTCTGTGTGGTTCAAATCCACAAACCTTGGGGAAGGCCAGACGATGTACAGACAAGTTTCTCACACCTCTCTCTCACCTTCTTCAAATGGAAGACAGATGTAACAGCTAAGGGAAAAAAATAAATTCTGTACCTGAAAAAAACATTTAATATTGTTTTGGTGTTGCTCTTAAACATTTGCAAAAGTTGAGTGAATATATGCTGCTGTGCTCACAATTTACTTTAGCCGTTATTGCTTTATGTTTTACAAAAGAAACACTTCATCTGAACTTTAGCAGAGAATTCCTCGACAAGATTTAATAAGAAGAACTAATCCACACACACTTGCCGGTCCCACAGTTTTTCAAGATTGAAATTAAGCGCTGAGCGTCATGAATCCTGCCCACGGGGCAGATTTATGAAATAACCTGCATCAAAGGCACGACAAAGCAAATGCTTTCATAATACAAGTCTTTAAAGTAAGGGTCCTCCTTTTGGTTATATAAATGCTTCAACACTTTGATGAAGCATTCTGTAGCAAGAAGCCTTCCAACTGAATCACCTGGGGTCAGGGTTTGTGTCTTTAAATCTCTGGTTTCCTTTTCTGTCCTCTGGTGGTGTCAAATAAAATACAGCCAATTGAGCTTTATGATACGAAAGAAAAAATATAAATTTGAATATATTCAATAGATACGGGTATATATAATAAGGTGACGTCTATTTCTGTGGTGCATGATGCAGTGGAAGTCATACAAACGAATGGGGCTCCAGGCAAGGTAATATGCGCCGCTCATCAGATATTATCCCTTTAAGACTTCACAGCTGCTGTGGGTTCTGATCGAGAGCAGCTGCACGGTCTTAAACTCAGTGCCAGAAAGCAATAATTATTAAAAGGTTATCGTCCTATTAAAGCAGCTGGTGCTGAAATCTATCTCAGAATTAAATTCATTCACCAGATACTGTTACTTCTACTTCAGTTAAAAGGATTGAACAAAGTAGGCCCAGAGGTTGGTGGGTTCACCACACTGAAAGGACACAGTGGCAGACAGGGAAGGGTCCGCTACCATCCGCTCCTCGTACACAGAGAGTCAGCCCTCTCAGGATCTAGCTGGTAGGGGTGTGTGATAGGTTAAGGAGCAGCAGCATGGAGCAACATGATAGCTCTGATTTTCTTCAGAGTTGTCTTGGCCATCCTCACCCAGAACGTCTTTGCACGTCTACGTGTACCTCTCAGATCATATTAAAGTCTCACTTTGTTACATCTTTTGTAGTCCTGTCTATTTTTTAACTGATCGCATGTATCCCCCGTCTCATATCTACAAGTTTCATCTTCCTTTAGGCCGCAATTTCAGTTTGTTTGTTTTTTTCCACAAAAGCGCTGATTTGGTAAAACACCGCGAATGAATGGCCTGATGTACCCTATCTGCCACAGGTCTTCCCCAGAGACTCCCGAAATAAAGCTCCCATTAGCCCTGTTTATTTCTCAGGCCCCCTTTTTCCTTATCCCCCCTGCTCTGCATCCTGACTATCAGGAGCTAGTCGCGGTGGAATATGTCCCGCAGCCACTCAGAGTATCTGATAGGCCAGGCTCCTAGAAACTCTTCCCCACTGCTTATCAACCCTGCCTGGCTCCACGGCTGACTAGCCCCTCAGCTCAGGAGGAAACCACTCGTCTGCAGGCCGGGACAGGGACGCGTCATCAGCTGATAAGCCCTGCCTGTGTGTGAACCAGCTGTTTTCTCAGCGGCGGAGGGAGCGCTACTCTCCATGTTGGTTAGCTTATCCAGCGCACTTCGTCTTTCGAATTCTCAGCAGTATAAGACATTCGTGGCTCCACTGGCTCAACCCCCAGTGTGCTGAAATGAGCTTCAGGACTGGAGCTTTTAACAAGATATCATCCTAGGTTTTGGACAAACTGTGTCCTGGGTTAATCATACAATTGAAACACTAAGTGCAAAAAGACTGAAAACATGATAAGCACACATAAATGAGGTATACACAATAAAAAAGCTAGAGTGGTCTGTAGTCTAAATAGATTATCTTCTCATTCACAAATAACGGTCTGAAAAGGGTGGAAGACTAATGATACAAGATTACTGTATTTTAGATAATGATTTAAAAAGCTGTTTCTGGAGTATTTGCTTTAAGCACATAGAAGGAAAAATTGAACAGTTACATATAGTGATGATCCAGGGTAGAAACTGCAAAACAGAATATTTTAATTCCACTGTGGATTCCCTACAAGAAGGGAGTGTTATCTATCTGTCACTATTATGACCTGTCTATTTGGATCCTGTGCTATGAAACTGGTTTTTCTCCTACTCTCTAATCAGAAGACAGCCAGAATTCTCCTCTGCTCATCCCATCCAAACAGAACTGTTATCTTATTCCACTGGTATCTTCTTAAGACTGTCTACAGACAGTGTTGGACATAGATTGTCAACAATGTGGCTGATATCCGAGTAAAGGGAATGGAGGTCGACTGTTTGAGTATTGAAAGTTGAGAAAATGCTTCACTGTGTACCTTCAAATCAGGCAAAGCCAGCAACTGGTGGAGAAGATTGTTTTTTTTTTCCCCGTACAGTCCTTTTTCCTTCTATGTCTTCACACGCTTACGGATCCCCTCATAATAAAATGAGGCTGGACGGTTCCCGAGTCAGCACTGTGCCTTCACTCTGACCTCGTCATCGCTGAAGTTCCAGCCTTGGAGAGCTTCCTTCACTGGGCCAAACTGATGATCAGCTGACAGTCCTACAGTGCAAGATCCAGGCTGTAAGGCCATTTTAAAGTCCCCGCCGCGTGTGAGTAAATGTTTTCCTATTGCAGACTAACACGAGTGGTGTACCCCTTGCAAAACTTTGTGTGTGTAAGTCGCTTCGATTTAGCGGACGAGCGCTAAATGTTGCGTATATCGCTCTTTCATGGTTCTCTTTAAAATGGGTGGCAAGATCATCCTACAAAACAGGTACTATTCCCAGAAACGAAAGAAAGCATCTGGGGAGATCTGATTTCGGCACGATTCAGGCTTTTCTGCAATTTCACCCACACACTTCACATCTATTCAGATTTTAAAGGCTGTGAAATATGATTTCTTGCATTGCTTTTTCCATCCTTAATCTCATTCCTGAATAAATGAGCGTAATGGGATATTTAACTGGTCACCTTAATGTATAGGTGTGACACCTGAAGAAGGCTCCACGGCTGAAACGTTGTGTGTTCTTTCTTCTTTTTTTCCAGCATGGAATAAACCTATTACTTGTTCCTTTGCAGCCTACGCATGCTGACGCAGCTCCCCACCTGAACTATTAATGTATAGAGGTTATTTATTATTAAATGACCGTTTGAAAGGGGAGGTTTTTTTTTGTTTTGGCAAATTGTAGAGCCAAAGCTTACAAACACAAAGACGAAGGTGCTTTTTTCCATAGAGGTCACTGTACATCTCAGGTCAGTGTTTCCTCTGGCGTCTCCCTATAGCCAACCGGGACAAGGCTGAGTTCATCACACGGGTGAACCTGTGCCAATGGAATTGACATGACTCTCCAGGCAGCTCTGGATTTCCCTGGCTGCGCTCACTCAGTGATGTACAGTACTGATATCTGATGGCAGCACTCACTGATCGGCAGTGTTAAAAGAAAGAGCAGGGAGTGTTAAGGTGAACAGCTAGGATTAATTTCCAGACAGTCGGGGTCAGCCAGACTGACGCCTCTACCTAAAGCAATGTTTCTCCACCCTGCCCTGCCCTGAAAGGACATTAGGGACATATTCAAGGTGCAAAACCAAGAAAGGGAGCTTATCTTAATAGACAGCTTCCCTATAGTACTCCAGTTCTACCCCTTTCTAACAAAAGCCCAGCTCGAGAGACATTTAGGCTTGTGGGGACAACCAGCAGCCGCGCGGAGCCTTAACAAGGTTGAAATGTATGGGTGTTCAGTATGGGTTTGGAGTGCTTTACAAAGCAGATGCCACAATTTGAATCAGAGAGCTTAGAGAAGGGCAAAAATGAAAATGAAGCTGCTGAGCCCTTCGGAAAAGCATTACGGTGTACCACAGATGTTCCTTTTACATAGTTGTGAGAATCGCTTCCAGAAGCTGCTTTCAATGGGATGATTTTGTTTGGTAACGTGGCGCGGAGTCTAAACGGAAAGAGAGTCAGTGAAATCACGAAGGGCGCGGACAAGAAGACACCCAGACAGCTGGGAAAACCTCAAACTTCAGACGCTCAGCTCAGCGGTGCTGAAGCATGCTGTTGGGAGACAAAGCTTGCCTTTGTTTGCATGCTCTAAAGTGGGGAGAAACTTATAGCCAGGAAGCAAAATAAACCCTAGAGCTTGAGGTGGCCATTTTGCTCCCAAGAGAACTTGTATCCAACCAGCCACCTACCTCTCTGGCCAAGCAACAGACTCCTGCCAGTCCTCACCCTGATGCGATGGCCTTGTTGTCTGCAGCACCAGCTGTCTCTTTGAGGTGAAGGCGGTCTGGCAGCGCCCCCCGTCCCAGAGACCTCTCTCCTCGCCATTTCAGGACAGCGTTTGATAGTTGTCGACCTCTGTTTCCGCACTGAGGCTGTAGAAATAAAGAAAAAAAACGGAACAGGCCGTTTTAACGCATTTCCTGCTTGACCTACGACGGGAAAATGAACTTAAACGGACGAGGCGTCATGCCTTTTCTCCAAGCCTAAACACCTGGTTAATGGGGCTCAATGTATCCAACAGCCATTGTGGGCTTGATGGTGAACCCAGCTCTCGTTCGATAGATATCGGTGTCTTTGATGCTTATCTCGATTGTTTTGAAAGCCTGCTGCAGTTCAGATGCTCCTGCCCCAGACTGAGCTCTCTATTAGATCTTCCAGCTGACTGAGCACTGACCCTTCACCTTTACTTCCGCACAAGTGCATTGATTTTTAATTGACATTTTTGTGGATGGTCCCATTGAGGATAATTAGCAATTGTCGTGCTAATGAGAACATACGATTTGGTTCATTATTGAATGTCTGATATCATGAATATCTGTTATTCCTAACCCCCGATATACAGTAGTTAAGATCTCAGTTTTTCTTTTGATTCTTGATTTCAATATTATATCCTTTGTAATGTTTTCATGCCGAACGTGTTGTACAGTCCAGCCACCTGTGTAATTTAGTCAGTGTGTGTTCAAGAGGATGAACAGAAATCAACTCATATTCAAAAAGTAACACTCAATCTTGTGCACCATTCTAGGATGAGACAGTCATTCGCATTTTTGAAAACCTGGACTCTTTTAAATTAGTATTTTTTTTACACCCTTATGACAACCTAGAAAAGAAAATATATATTTGAGTTCCCAAAAACCAATAAGTACAGTAAATAAATACCCCAGCACTTCCACAGTGATCCTGAATTTGATACTACACACCTTTCTCAGTGTAGATGCTTTGTTATTTTCAAGCTATCTGCCATATGACGAAAGAGGCCTGATTTTAAAGTACTAACAACATCAGCAAATGTTCAAATCAATAAAATATCAATTTTCTAAACTGCAGGTAAGACACTGAATAATAAATTCTAACTGTTATATAATAATAACTGTTGTCCAGCTCAATAAAAAATGTAAATGCCGGAAATGACACAAAAAAAAAAAGCTTTGAGCACTTTAAAACTTTGCCAGCTACTCTGATGCATTTTCTTTCTGTGTATGAAAATGAAAGGATTTTTGTGCCCGATTTAAGACTTTCGCTCAGAGATGCTGGTCTTCCCTGAAACGTCACACTCAGACCCGACTCAAGAGCGAAGAGGGCGAAGCCCCACTTAGGTATTTAGACCTATTTTCGCTTGGCGATGTTTTCTTCACGCCTACAATGAGGTGATAATGCAACAAAACTGCTTAACACTTAACTCACCAGAGCAGCCTGTGTTGGACAGACTTGGGATTGCTGACAAGCGCAGTGTTACCTGCCAACTCGCCTCAATAATAAACGAGAGCAGGAGATCTGTTGAGGCTCCCTGTGGAGGTGGATGAAAGCTCCTGATGGCCGTCATTATGGTAACTAATTTCACGGAGATTTTCTGCTTGGCTGGAAGCACGAGGAAGCCCTCCTCTGTTTCTAGGCTTGCTCTCCCTCTTTTTAATCGCATAACGTGTAAGTCTAGCTGCTCGGCTTCCACCAGCCTTAATCTCGCGGAGTGATCGTTCTTTTGCACTTCATCAGGGAAATTGTCAAAGCGAGACTGCTGACAATCAGACTCTCCCCTCACGCCCTGTCCCTCCCTGCCTCACACCCACTCCTGTCTGGCAGCTCTGAGCTTCACTTTAATTTGTCAGGGGGAAAAAAAAAACGCGCTACTTGCTGAGGGGAGAAAGCAAACAGCGGCAGAGCATGCAGACTCCACACAGACAGTTCAACAGGCTAGAATCAAACCCAGGCTTTGAGAATTATGGGGCGGCTGCACCAGCTGACACACCAGTGTGTTGGCCATTGTCCGTCTCACTGTTCTGAGCTCTTATGCCGTTACATCTGAAGGTGCGAAGGCTCAGAATTCAGTGCAAGGCGCAAGGCCCAAGCCAGGATATAAGTTAAAAAGCAAACGATCAACCCCTCTGAAGTGTCGCAACCCTAGGACCCTTTGAGTAAAGACAAAACTGAAATCGTTTGACACTAACTATCGAGGGCATCATTCAACAAAGAAATAAAACAAAGAGTTAAGATTGAAAAATGCAAAGCTCCTGCACAGCAGTACAGCTACATTTTCATATATTTCATCAGAAATGTTAAATTTTATTCACTATGTGGTTCCTGCCTTAAAGTAGAGATTGTCTAGAACATGCTTTGGTCCCAACCACCTAGTCTTGTCTACTAAAATAGAAGGGAGATTGATCTTCCCAAAATTGTAATGGCACCCATGCAAAATCTCATGACTGTTAAGGTTTTTTTCACTATGTTTTTATGACTCCCATCTATTTTTGGACTAACAAAGAAAGACCCTCATGATCAAGGCTGAATAAAAGCCTGTTCAAGCTTCTGAATAATTCAGAAGCAGATCCTATTTTTTTTTAAATGTCCCAACCTACAGTTTATAGAAAGGCTTTGGCTTGTATCTGTAAACTAAACAATAAGATTGACCTTTTTTTGCAAACATGCCCTTGTAGTATTTAAAGAAATAACCCCTTTTTTGTTTATAGATAGATACTTTATTGACCCCGTGAGGGAAATTGCAGAAATATACTTGAAGTATAGAGACTCTATACTTCAAGAGTCTCACTTTCATAAAGCTAGTTTTAACATCTACGAACCTATCCCTTGATGAATATACAGTACATCCATATCCTAAAATAGATATGACAATAAACGAATCATTTAAAAGGGACGATATTTAAGTTCAACTTCATGAGCTCCACCCCTTCACCTCACACTGTCTCTACCTTATCTCCACTTCTGTTTAGTGGCTTTCTGTCGTTTTAAACCAAAGCACTGAAAAACAAGCCTTGAGTGGAACATTCACAATGAACAGACGTCAAAGAAAGAGATGATCCCTGCTTAAGAAGACAGAGCAAATCCAGCCTAGATCCTACTTAGGCAAGTCTCATCTCTAATACATCATTTTCACTTACCAGCTTCACTTTGTGAAGACGTTATCTGTAATTTTGTCAGTTAATACCAGCACTCTTCACAGCTTAAGTGGATGTAATGCTTTTTTCCACACACACACTGTCATCTGACATAAGCTTATGAAACAATACTATGTCATTCTACTAAAACACACAGAGGTTTAGAATACCAGGCGTTTGGAGGTGGGAGAGGGGTATAGGGGCATTCCTTCACTCCTGTCTCCCACTGAGCACAGGTTCCACGGAGACATCAGAGCACAGTACAAGAAACATCTGCAAAAAGAGATATTCGCCTTGCCAAACCTTCAGCCTTTTGGCTTGCGGCACTTCATAAAGGCTCTTGTGACAGAGTTAATTCTAACCTACGAGATGACTTTAGAAGGAAGAGAAAACTATGCACAGTGTGATGCGATAACAAGCAAAAATAAAAGTGATGGCTAAAAGTGCTGGCTTGTTTGATCATGGGATGTAGTCCTTTTGTAAAATCAGATCCCTGTCCTTGGATGTACAGTATGTAAGTAAGATGTACAGATTAAATGCGATGATACGTTTGTTTTGTTTCATAGTTCATAGAATAACAACACCTGTGGCTGGTCAACTGAACAGATCTTCAAAATGTTTAATCATAATAATAATAATAATTCTTGATGAATTTATCCAAGGTGACAAGAGAGCAGGAAACAAGCCCATGGCGTGTATTTTCAGCCAGTAGCCAGAGGAGCTCCAGGGGGCTCAGGCTCACTAACAGAGCTCTTTGCACATGAGCCAGTGTGGCTTGAGCTGTTAGCACCCTGCCTCCCTGCTCAACAGCACTGGGGCTCGTCCTTCACTGCCGTCCCACAAGGCAGGGCAGAGGTCTTGGACCACTGCGACCAGTCTACTGCAAGTGTGAAAAGCTGAGTAGATTTCACAAGCGGGGGGGGCGCAGAGGAGAGGAAGAATGAAGGTTTGGTGCCCCAGCTTTGGAACTTCAACACTCGAAACACTTTCTGATCTGCTCAAAACATTTTTCTATTCGCTTTTTAAATCGGTTTGTCCTGAAGTTTATTCTGCTGGGGAGAGTAGACGCACCTACAGTATGCACAATCTTCTCCGCTGTCTTTCTAGTCTCATTTCACAAAGTGGAATTAGTCTCTAAAGACTGAAATGGTTCGGTTCCTTTAACCTGCCAGAGTAGAATAATTTAAGCCAGGGAAAGTCTGGATGCAACACCTTTTCTTATCACCATGGTGAGCCACAATAGGCAAATGAAACAAAACACCAGGTCTTATTGTGTATTTCACATTTTTTAAATTTGATTCTTTAATTTGAAACTCTACACTTTTATTTATAGAGGTTCATGTCTTGTTTCTTTTTTTTTTTGTTTCCCTAGAAGAGGACCATAACGCTTCAACATCAACATCATTTTTTGGTGAAAACAATGTATTTGGTGCGTATGTTTTTTTTTAACCATACATATACGATTTTTAATGTTCTAACCAAAAGGAAATACTGCGTTTTGCCACATAGTGTACATTTGGTACGTTCTCAATACATTTATAAAAACTGAAAAATGCAGATTCGTGAACTGGAAAATATCCACTTAAAAATATATTAGACATGGTGAACCCAACAGAGACACTGCTATTTGTTTTAAAGCTTTTTTTTTCCCCAAACACACTCTGTGCTTTTATCACTGCAAAATATGTTAAAACCTGAGACAAAGCTGTGTGATATTGCAAAAAGGATTTGGTCATTTCTGTATGTTCTTTCTGCTATCCAAGCAGAAGGTCTGTCACACTTGTGTCTAGAGTTCTCTCGGGGGAATTCTGTGTTCATCTTCTTGAATGCTGTTAAACTACACTAATATGCTTTTTTAACCACAGATCACCTCAATAATTCATAAATAGTGTCAAACATTCCCTTTTAAAGATTAACACTTGTTATATCAAAAGAATGTCCAATATTCATGTTAATACGGGGCTAGAGGATAGGACGGACATTTTGTCCTTTGACGAAATAGTGCAACTACAGCTTGAGCTAAGTTTCTAGCATTTACTCTACAAAGGTTTTTATTTATGTCATTATACGCTCTATATTATACTTGTGCAAAATATCACTGTCATCGTGAAAGCATAATATTACAGTGACAATTACCAAAAATATTTATATACAAAAATGAAATTTTTTAGTTACATAAAGTGTAACTGGAATTATATTTTCAATGTGAAACATAGTTTTTGTACACAAGATACAGTATCCAAGGGAAATCGTGGTGTTGCTGGTAGACTAGCAGCTGACACTGTATTCCCTGGAATGGAAATTCCACAGTAAAAAAAAGTTGATTTCCCAGTATGATGAGAGGGATGTTGCACTTTTGAAATCACCATGCCCTTAGATAAGACATTAAACCTAGGTGCTACTAATTAGATCCCATGCCATTAATTAAAGGAGTGTGGGAGCTAAACTCAGGGTGCTGGGTGAATTCAGACGTTTGCAATCTGGCCTACTGATTTTTTTCCTTCTACTTGGTTGGACAGGTAAATTCTCAGTGCTGTAACAACCAAACGGCTGCCTCCGAGGTGGAGACCTGTACTTCCTGTGCTGGATAGAGGGCGTTGCTCTCCTCTGTGTCGAGACATTTCTTCGGGAAGAAAAGGACATTGCAAAACACAAGAAACCATTGTCCTGACTGTACCTCCCTCATTGTGAGGACAATGCTAACTATTTCACACCGCACTGGGCTGCAATATGATACTTAACATGAGCCTACTAGACGATCAGTTAAAAATGAACTACACAAGCACTTCTGATAAATATCCAGCACAGAAGGAGCTCTTCTCCCAAGAGCGTATGTATATATAAATATTTAAAACCACTTCTACTGCCTTCTAAAATGTATTCTACAGTTTTTTTAACTACTGGAGTGAGTGTATACAGTATATGTATTTATTAAGTACAGAATAGTTAATTCCAAAATTCAAACATGATGCATTTCTACTGAAAGGCAACTATACCATTTCGTATAGTAAAATCAGTTCTGCTATAATGGGAGTTCGGGTGATCTTGAAATCTGTACAATAAATAAAATCCATTCTGCTCTACATTGCTGTCCTGTCAGCCATCACTAGGTGCTTTACAATAAGAACACGATGAGCAGTTACAGAGTCACTCCAGTTCAGTCTGACAGCTTAAGGCAGGAGGGACTCATTGTAGTGTTAAAGACTCAGTGGACTAGCATTCCTAAAGTGATGATGCAAACAATTCCAAAAAACAAAGTATATAATGACTGAAGAGCCTTAATCCCTTCATTGGGCCCTGGTTCTTAAAGTGCATTTAAGAAGAAAGGTCTTGGATATCAGAGGCTGAAGACACGAATGGTATTATAAGTGGTAAGCAAACCCCGTCTGGAATTCTATGGGGAAAAAAGCACTTGGCATATTCTAAACCTTTGCCATTTTAAAAGTCGTTCAAATTTTCATATTCTTAATTTGTATTTATAGTTTAAAGTTACAGCATTTGATGAGAGATGCAAAGTACACAAAGTACGTTTTCATTGAAAACCATCATATTTTGCATATGAGCCAGACCAGAGTAATGCTTTTTGGCAATTTGCTTACCATAAATATGGTCAATCTCTGCTTCTTTCTATTCAAGTTGCAGTAGGCTGAATATTGATCAAACCAGTTTTCTAATACTTCTTGAACACACAACAATGCATTGTTCATTCATCAATACTAATTAATAGACGTACATCTTCTTAATCTTTAAATGTGCTAGACACTAATACAGAAAACTAACAACAAAACCCAACAGGCCAATCAGCCATAAATGTTGAATATTGTGAAAATACGTTTATATCCCAGCATATCATATCAATACTGAGTCTGACTCATAACGTCCTGGACTTCATCACAGAAATGCTATGATTCTTTTTCATTTTAAAACACATTATTATTGTGAACCTAGAAGCTCTTTACAATTAAACAACAATATAATAAAACCCATCTTCACGGTAAGATAAAGAACCTGCTGATTAACACATAAATAAGAAATACTGTTGGCTGCTGAAAGACCTCTTTCAGGAGAAAGCCGAGATAGTAATGTAAGAGAGAGCAAACCCTGGGTTGAACTGCATTATCTGTTGCAACACCACACTTAAAGAAAGCTTCCATTTCAGACACTGCCTGCAGAAAACAGTGTGATTATTTAACAAATAAACAGTTATAAACATTGCCAAGCAGTAGGTAACCACATGAAGGTTACAACTCTCATGTTTTACAACTCTTGGTTCTCATCCTTATTGATCAATTAATCAATAGGGTGTAGGTGCTCGTCTTCCAGGGGCTTTTGTCAGCCAAATCAAAAAAAAAAAAGCCTAGCCTCCTTGTTCCGATTTGTGTAAAGGAGCTGGATCTTCTTGTAAACGACCTGCCCCTGCTGAATGTTAATACCTCAATCAGTAGAATAAGTGCCACCCAATCTGCTCTCTGTCAGCTCCCATCATCCCCGGGGTCAGGACAGCTCGAGGAACAAGACGGTGGTGCATTTGAACTTAACCTTGCTCCCCCGAAGACGGACGCGCCAATTAGCAGTGGGTCCAGCATCAAACAGAACAGCCCAGCGTGAAGCTCCTCTAATTGGTCATATGAACCGAGGGCTTCCTCCACTCAGCTCTCACAGGCACATGCTTGCCAACCCTGGGCAGCCTGGGATGAGTCGCCTCTCATTTGTCGGGAAAGAGTTATGTATAATAAGAACAAGAATAACAGTGGTTATGTTTCTTGCGATACTCTTACATTCCCGTTAGATCAGACATTTACTATGCTGTAAATCAATCCATAAATATGGAGAAACTAGCTCACATTTTTGAGGCTGCAGTTAACGCCCGTCAACGCACAGATCATAATTACAAATTTACACACTTTGGAATATTAGTACTAAACGCTGTCACTTGGGTGAACAGAAGTGGAGGAAATGTCACAGGAAAGACCCTAAACGCACGGCCGCCCGGTGCACTTATTTCAAACGTCCAAAGGCTTCATGAGCTCTGAATGTATTCTATACATTTTCTTTTTTAATCACATTTGAGAACATTACAGTGTCACGACATTGTAAACTTTCTCAGGTTCTATGTTTTTAGCCGAGAGGCTTCAGCTTTCTATATCAGTTATATGAGCTGTATAAGAGCAGGCATCCCTTTGCCTGAAGGGTTTTACACCTAATTCAGATAAAAACTAAGATGAATTTAGTCACAATCTACATTTTCTGGAGGGTTTCTTTTTACACCATGGCTGGTAAGTGTATGAACTACAGGGGATAAAATCACCCCCCCCCCAAAGTTCAAATATTACTTTCACCAATCTGCATAAACCACCCGGAGACTTTGAAAACCTATTATGATGACTTAAACAACCCCAAATTAAACTGGAAAGTGATTTTTTCTTAGTGATATACAGAAAAATCAAAGAATTCTAGGTCAGTGGTGGTGGGGGAACTTTATTGATTAATTAATGAGAAAATTAGCTGCTGCGGGCTCCTTGTGGCCTGTGACTCTCAGAGACATGTGGTGAATTTTCTATTCTATTCCATCTAGATGTTTTCTCTTTCAGGCACGTTGTTTTCAGGTATGTCACTGTGCTCGTGTTGGCAGTAGAGCTCCAGTTCTGAGCTTGTAACTGGAACTTTGTGGGTTCAAATCCTGGAGTGGACTAATTTTAGACCCTGAGTCAGACCACTTCCCACAGTTCACGAATGCCAAATGTTTTGCTGTAGAAATTGATGCACATATGGGTTGTTTTGCAGACAAGCAAAGGCATCAAGTCAGATTCGGTCAAATTGATAATGAACAATTAATGCTTGAATCTTGCTTTCTGTAGATTAGATCAATGAGTCTCTTTCTTTGTCCTTGTATGAACGCCAGACAATGAAACAAACTTTGGAGTGTGAAGAATCATATCAGAGAAATGGATACTGTCATCAAATTAGAAAATGAACATATACTGTAGGGGTTTATGACCATATGCCCTTTAAAGAAATCACAACAAAAAGGATTCAGAGAAAACAAATCTTGACCGCTAATAGCACTTAAAACAGAGAACTTCAAATCTGGTAGATTTGTATTTAAATATTCAAAGAGAAGTTTAATTTTAACCCAGCACACGCATCAGATATGTAGATTGGGTCATAGAAAGGTGATTCCATTTTGTGTATTTAATGAGAATTGATGCATTCTTCATAACTGTGACTACTGCCACAAATTTTAATTTCACATTTATCAGAATATAACTTAAGGTGCACTATCAATGAACAGCCGACAAAGTGTTGTAGTAGCTTAAACATCGCTTTTACCAATCAAGTTTGTTTGACTTACTGTCAGGTGTTTCTTATCATAAACACCATTAGTTCCTCACTACACAGCTACAGGCTGCTATTTATACTACAAACTGTGAATCTGTCAGGATCGATTCTTATTGTCAAACAGAATGGCTAAGCCTTCGGTTGAAGACTTCCATTGAGTTCTGTTTCTCCATAAAGAAACATCTGAAAAGAGCAATGTACAGTATAAGACTTTTGGAAAAAAAAATGGGTGTAAATAAAAAGTGGTTGAGAAAACTCCAGTGATAGTTTGTTTTAAAAAGGTTAAATTATTAGAACTGTATCTCACCCATAGAGCAGAAAAACAAAAGGGAGAAATTTCCTGTAACAAACCTGAAATGTCCCAGAAGTGTTAAAGTGTTAGAACTGTACCAATTTCACAGGCGTTGCAAAAATTAAAAGCAATGTACTGTAACAGATAAACAAAATGTGCCATTAGAAAAACACTAAAATTTCATTGCCAACAAATGCAAATCACACATGAATTTGGGTGCCATTAGAGATACTCCATTTGAATACTGTTGCACCATGAAAAAGCATCATGTCACAATACTGGGATGCAAAACTAAGAAAGGTGAGAAGGTGGTGGCTGTTTTCCCAACCCTCTGTCTTCAAAACATAGCAGGTGTCAAAGAGGGCTTAATGCTGCCATTACAGGTGCTGTCCGGCGTATAAGATTTAAAACAGATCAATCACCGAAAATCCTTTACGATGATAGATTGATCATTTGAAACATGAAGCTCATCTTTGGCTCTCCGAATCATGAAACAATGTTTTTTTTTTACCATTTAAACTCGTTTTAAAATGTTTTTTTTTTTACAAAAAATTCGAGAAGTTTGAGCTGAAGTTGTAGTCTAAATGGAAGCGACTGGGGGAAAAATCTGTCTTTTTAAAAGACCATCTGAAAGTCTTTTTCAAGTGAAAAATGGTGTCACTGGGTAAAGAAAAAAAATCTGGACCTCGTGTTTTCTCAAGAATATGGAACACGTTGATTCATGTGTGTTTATTTCGAAGCGGGGACGGTTCATTAATCGTGCTGATTTAAAAGCATTTTGAGACAATTGTTGTTGTTTTTTAAAAATAAATTTAACGTCTAAATCAATTTTCGTGCCATTTCTATACAATTTCACTTTCAGTTTCCGGGAACTTTGAACAAGGAGAACATAGATAAATGTATTTTGGCAGCAGTGCAAGGCCAACAACTATTTTTCCCATATTAGACTGTAATTGTCTGTTAAAATCCATCGCGGAATTCAGCATAAATATTCATGGTGTGCACTTCAGACAAAATGCTCTGAGCACATTTATCACACGCCTGGCGTCTATCTACAGCCTACGCTGGTTTTCATTGGAAGGAGCTTATGAAACCAGCTTATGAAGCCATACAAGTTGAAGGAACCATTCAGACTGAATTAAGAATGGGTTTGTAATGTCAATATTTGGCGATTGGAATTTTAGGATTAGTACTCAAATAAAACGAGTTAGAAGATTTTTTTTTTTGTTTCAACAAAACAGTTTCACTGAAACTGTACCCACTTCACCAATGTAAAATAAAGACGCGATAGAGTTTAACTCAATTTTACAGTATATTATATAATATTATACAGGGTGACGCCTGACAGTCCCCCCCATGTCTCCCACAAGAATGACAAGGATAATGCACAGTCTGAATTGTCAGTTTCAGGCCCAGGTTTGAAATTAAATCTGTTTTGTTTTTTTTTTTTGGCACTTTCATTATAACATTATAGTACTTTAAAAACAAGCTTTAAAGCAACGAGAAGTATATTTTTTTCGGGGGTGGGGGAAATGAATCCGTGATACAACATATCGTTTCATGGATTAGAAATGGAAACTGAGTCTAATACGTGAGAAAGGACGGTCCCGGTTAATTATTTTATGGACCGTTCAGTTTTAGATACACACACACACATGTAGATGCAGAAATGCTTCTCGGTGATATTTTTAATGAAGTAATGTCACCCTGCGCCCCCTCGTCAACTCTTAACGGTAGTAGTCTAATTTAATAAAAGTCGACACTGGGTGGAGAGATTAGGCGTCAGGCAGGAAAGCAACAGCCATTTCATTACCCTGGTATTAGCGAGAGATTCAATTCAATCATCCTTTTTTTTTTTAACTCTTCCCTCCCCCCAGAGAAACGGACACTGGGTTTTCTCGATTACAGCTGGGAATTACGGCAACGACTTTGATCTATCCGGGTTTTACAAACCCATCCAAAACGAGAGAGAAAAACAAATCCATCAGAAATCTCTAAAACATCTCATGTATTTTAAACATTCTTTCTTATCATACACAAAACTATGAAGCATCAACAGGCATATACTTCGCAAATGTTAATTATGACAAACGCGATAAAATACATTTAAATCAAACATAAATACCGGTTTTGTAGCCTTTTAAGCATTTATTTGGATGAACTTTAATCTGATTTTCAACATACGTCTTCTTGTGACTCATAAATTATTAGAAATAAAAGCAATAAAGACTATTAGGATGAATAATCAATTTGTTAAAGCATACTAGTTGAACGTATTTACAGACAAAATAACTACACAGAACCTGTGAATTCTAGATTTCCTAACCCGAAAGGATGCGTGCGACATCATCCTTAGAGCACCACGTAGCAAGAAAAAAAAAGAAAGGTTCATTTGCTCACAGAAAAAGATGCACAGATTATTCATAAACTTTTGTCTTCTGACTGGCACACGGCAATATCCACGTTTATAATCGAATATTCTCTGCGTTCACAGCATATCTTCGTTAAGGTGCGTTTTACCAATTACGCGAGTTTGTTTTTTTTTTTTTTAAAAACTTACACCTTCTTCTACAATTTATTCTCATAAATTGTTTGTAACGATTGATCAATAAATGTAGAATAATGACTTGGACTTATTATTGCCACCGTTATATATTTGTAGTTAAAGAATCGTTTCCCCCCAAAAAATTGAATTTTTTCACGTTTCTTGGTTATTAACAGTTCATTCGAAATGCGTCGGCTCTTAGAACTTTGCTGCTGTGGTTTAAACAAAAGCCAAGTTTAAAGTTAAGTTAGAAATTTGTGCATGGTCAAAATCAACAGTCTCAACTGTTACAGCGCTAGTATCCATTGGTCATTGGTTAAAAGGTCTAACGAGTCGTTTTTATTTGGTTGTATTGAATGGACGTCTTTCCGAAACACAAGATGTCCAGATGTATATCTGTAAGCTAGAAGTTACATGGCACTTGATTAAAGAAGTTGATGTCACGGTGTTGAAATGCATGCAAGAGCTCCTGCATCCAACAACCATTCAAACGTCTTCAAAAGAGACCCTTTTCGTCTTCTGTACACGGTGAGAATCCGAGAGCCCCTTAGGTAACGAAATTATCAACATGCTTTTAAAAATATTTTACCACTCACGAACGTTCGTCTCTACGACCAAAACGTCCCAGCTACAACCACATATAAAGACGAACCCTAATACTTTCTAGGCTCTGTAAATTAATTCAGGCCAAATAGATGTAGAAACAGTAAAACGTTAAATCCGAATGCAAATAATATGGTTTTTAAAATCAACTTACAAGGGCCATTAACTGCTTTTCAAACTCTCCAGTCTCATTTTCCAGTTTCTGGTAAAAATAGGTTGCATTTAAAATCGAAATTCACTATAATCAAGTACATTTGCTTGCGAATCTCGATTCTCAGAACACTAATCTCTTTCCCCGTCTTTGTTACGCACCATATAAAAATGAGCATGGATAATATGCAGTTGCCATCGCCTCTTTGACAACGGGACAATAATCATTTACAATCATTCAATGATCATTTACATCCATTGCCTCTTGCTATAATCATTTGTGCCAACGCTGTTGTACACGACATTTAAAAAGCATACATGTTTTACATTTCAATTTATAGAATAATCCCGGAATTGTGCCATTTTAAATATGTTTGCTCCATTATCTTCAAATTAAGATCTTCCTTGACCAGGTGGATGACGAGGAAATAATGTGGGTTTAACACCTGAACTGATTTTTAACCAGCTGTGGACCGGCAAGCAAAAAAACGCGTCCCACGCCGCACGCATAAGCACGCAGGGCTGGTGACAGTGACCCAGTGCTCTAATTTGTTTTAAGATTCCTGTAACTTTAAGAATCCCCTCTCCTACCGGCGGTACAGCAGCCCTCAAAGTGTGAATAATTTTCAATAAGGAGTTACACTAAGTGAGAAAGCTTTTAGCACATTATCCGCCTGCAATTGGACTGGTAATCTAATTTGCCAGCCCAGCTCTCTTATTATATCTCTGCTATTGGATTTGCATTTTGGAGTCACCTAATGGGTTTAAAATGCTGTAGATCTTTAGCTCTTGCTTATATGAGGATCCACCTTTCGGAGTAGGTGACATTGAGGATAAGAGGTGATACTTCACCCACGAAATACTGAAGTCAGCGGTTCCCTCCAACGCAGCTTTGTAGCAGCTTTGCTGTGGGTGAGAGGATGGCAGATCTGACGATTCATAGACAACACGCCGCAGGGATCAAAATAAAGAATAAAAATTGCTTTTTTTTTTGTTTGTCCGTTGTTGTTTAAACTGAAATTAAACACTAAAACACTAAAAATGCTGTTTAGCTATAAAACTCTAGGATAGCTTTCTTTTTTGACTAAAACCACTAGTTAGTTCCTACCAATAGCTATTGAAGTGCTCGTTTTCTTAGCATAAGTAACAGTGGATGATTAATATTTTATTTCCTAGTTTTATTGAACGCTGCTGGCATATTTACATTTATCCAATAATAAAATTTTGACTCCACTGTATTTGCGGGTGTTGCTCTTAAGTGCAGAAAGAAATGTGTTATAAAGTTGTCGTTATTCCCCCCCGGTATATTTACTATCGAACATTTCAAATGAAAATCAAAATTTGGAACATTTTTCGGCACAAGTGTATGTCTGTGTCCTTTGAGTGCTAACCTACAACTGTTACATTGTGTTGGGTAGTTATGCAGTTGAAATGCGTCTTCATGATGACACACACCTAATGAAGGTGCTACTGTCACAATTAGACAAAGTCAGAAACTGTATCGGGTGTAGTTCCCCAGTACAGCGGTGGACTGTAGTCTTTGGACCCGATTAGCTCATGCAAATGCTTCTGAGCGCCAGCCAGCAGGCGCAAAACGCAAGAAAGCGAACGCAGGGCTCGGAGTAATTAATTACACGCAAACAAGCGTGCCCACGGAGCCTTGAGGAGGTGTCTAGACGGCACTCATTTCCTTGTCTCTGGGGCTGAAAGAGAAAGAAAAATAGGAAAAATAATGATTCTCACCGGATACCAAAAAAAAAAAATAACAACCCGTAAATGATTATAGAAACAGCAAGGTCAGCGTTACCTTAAGAAGTTATTCCGTGCGTTTCTCTTAGCTCCCTCATCAAGGCAAAAATCCGTGAACTGCTTTAATACTTCTGCGTTATTTTATATTTTTAATAAACTGATCATTTTAGATTCGCAAGTCTATTAAAAAAAAGTTGTTGTTTTTTTTGCATTGGAGAAGACCAGACGATTCATCCAGTAACCTACTGTTATACTGAAAATGTGACTTTAAAAAATAAAACCGAAAACACAGATTTAACATGCTTTTGGCGTTTAAATGTTTAAATGAACAGAAATATACGTGTGGGCAAATCTAAATATCTGAGAGTGTCAGTGGAACAAACACAAAGTTGTGTTCTTCACATGTTGAGTTGGATATATTTTTATTTGTTATCATATTTCGTTTCACCAGGATATGCAAAAACCGATATACTGGTAGTATTCTTGATAGCGGCGAATTTTTCGTTAAGACAGTCGCTTTTTCCTGTAGCCAGTCTCTCGAACTTGCTCCCCGGAAAATGATGGGCAGAAATTTCATCCATTTCTTGGCTGTTTTGTGGAACAATGAAAAGCGTTAGACTGTGGATGGTAGTAGATTTATTAGTGCTCAATATATTATTTTTCGTGTGATATTAATATATATTTGTAGAAATTGTAACCTCAGATTGGTGATCTCAGTAAAAGAAAGACGCGATATGTTCAGACGTTTCTTCATCCTGATAACAGGTTACTTGATCATTGCCGGATCCCGCACTGAAGAGACCGTGTGTTATCCTAAACACGGGCCTGCTTCCCTTGTGGCGGGTCGGGGCACTTAGCAATTGTCCATGATATTTGAATTATTGTGGGAAAAAACAGTAAAAACTTGTCTCTGTGCGCACCGCGCAGACGAGGGTGCGACGGTGTGTGTCGGATGCAGGGCATGAACCCAGTCTGCCAGTCTCCGACCACGGCCTCGGCCAGGCAGCCGCATCCCAGTCCGATGAGGAGAGAAACAGACTCGACCACTTCACAGGTCGACCGGTTTCATGTTTCATTTTCATTTTTTTTTCACACAAAATTTTTTTGTGTGTGTGTGTGTATAGCGGTCTCGCACAACAAAAAAGAAAAAACACAGGAGAAAAAAAAAAAAAAAGAACAAAAAAAAAAAACCTTGGTCCCCGCACTACCAATGTACAGTGTCCTGAATGAATGGCAACTTTCTGTAAATAAGGATAGGTCCTTTTTTGTCTGTTTTGTTTGCCCGTTTGCCTTTACAGTTACATTATGTCGGTGGATTTGTGTCTTGAACCTCCAGTTGTACCACGACCTAAACACACAGGTCCGAAATGATTTAACCAGCTGCTAAGTGCGCTAATAATAACAACTTCGTAATGTAGGAATAAATCACGTTCGAATGGAAGCTATTGGTATTGAAATATGCTAATATAGAGTAATGAAATCGTTGGCACGGAAATGATCATTACAAAATCTGGAAGGTAAGAGGCACTAATCTGAATACAATTTAAGGTCCAGGACCACCTTAAACTCCTACAATTCTTCAGAATAAATAACCAACATGCACACATGGTTAAAAGTAGATACATGTCGCCCTTTACAAATGTGGTGTTCTTTGTTGTTATCTTGCATTTATTACTACAGTAGCAGACGGTGGTGGCAGGATATGGTAACTGCAATTAAAATAACACATTAATTGCAACTAGTCGTTTTATACACTATGCAAAGGGCGCTATCTTGTGTGATAGGTTGCCGGGTCGCTGTTGGGTTATTTCCTCGCGTCTTTACGCGATAGTTAAAAATGGTGAAAGGGCTTTTTAATAGGCTGCGGTGCCGAGCTTGAGCCTGTTGGGTAGGGTAACCCGGTGACGTTGACCACAGGGCGCTGATTGGCTGTCGCCGATAGGGACCAGTGGAGGCACTAAAATTAATGGGAGTGCAAAGTGTCCGACTTTTGCAATGCAGGTCCTGCGGTCTGGGTTAAAGAACAGAAACACGGAGCGGAGGAGAAATACAACTATGCTTCTTCATGAGCCACGTCTTCACCATTTCCCAGAGGCTGACTAAGATGTGTCAGTTTGTTCTTTAAACTTAATTTCCGTTTACAGAGTTGCGAAGACTTGGCTGAACGGCAAGGCTGCCTTGCGCGATACGACGGGCATACAGACTTTACCTACGCACCAGAAGTCCCGTTGATCTCCCCGTCATGGAGTACACTTCTTCCCCGAAACCTCAGCTGTCCTCAAGGGCTAACGCGTTTTCTATTGCCGCTCTCATGTCAAGTGGGAAGACGAAGGAGAAGGACGCTGAAGAAAACACCATCAAGCCCCTGGGTAAGTGCTGCGCACTCACGAATGCAATACACCAGGTTCGCGTGTTGTTGTCGGCTGATTAAGAATAAACAGACCTAAACTCGCTCGTCATACAGTAAGTCTGTAAGAAACCCGAAATTGAATGGTGGGATATATCGTTTCTCCTTTATTTATTTTTTAAAAAACGAAACAGCTCTGGGATAGTAAAGTGTTTATTGTTCACGAATAACAGTCTTCTACTGTAAGATCATTCCAATGCGATGCTATTAAACGGATGGGAGAAGCTACGAGGCCCTCTAATTTCACGAGAAGTCTCTGCCTGGTGTTTAAAAAGACAAGCAATGAAAATAATTAATACACACAAACTAATTTTATACGAATTCTATACTTGGAAATCGTCTTCCAAGCATCCCCCTTACAGGGCAGTGTCTTTTAACTCATGTCAATGTCTCGGTGAATGATGAAGCCAGGACAGCTCTCTGTTCGATACATGTATCTCATGTACCTCTGTCAAAATTAAAAACAACATCGTACAACGCCGTCATAATATTCTACATTTTACTGTACAAAGGTAGGCAAAATAGGAAATTACTACCGCTAGTTAATTAATGCTTATTATATGTATTGTGTCTTCACATAGGAGAACCAAAAATGTATTTCTCCTTAGGGATCATTGTCACTGCGGTGTTTTTTATTGTTAAAATATCTTAAATATATGACACAGAGAAAGCTTTACTGTAATTCAAAATGACAGATTATTAGATTATTTTAAAAAGCAACATATTGAAAAAGAGAATTCACTACAAAGCTAAATGTGTTAGGAGTGGTTTAAATGTTCCTGTAACACTCCTATCATAAAGCTACCGTAAGTAAGCGTGAATTCGTAGTTCGTGTTGATTTTATGGGTTTTGAGAACACAGAAGTGGCTTTCAGCACAACTGTTTATCATTTTATATATCCAAACACTTAAGAAAAAAAGATTTTACAGTTGTAATGTCAAGGACAAGCCGTGTAATATTTCCCTACAGAAAGCTAAGGCTGAACACATGATTTAAGACCGATTTCCACGCTGATGAGTGACAGAAGCAAAGTTTAAGTGTAACGAATTGTTCTGTTTCAAAACATGCTGAATTTCAGTACGAGAAAGAGAAAAGTACAATCGATCCCCGTGAATCAGGTCATAAACAAGGACTGTCGACTGCGACGTTTTTCCTCTAAAACCAAGACAATCTAAGAATTGCAACATTTATATGGATATATGCGTCTTCTAGCCTGCCTTTCAAAGGTACTGTCGTAACTGGTGTTCGCTTCCTCTTGTTGGAACTGAGATGACCTGTTTAATGTGTTGATTGTCTTTCTTCTTCAACCAGAACAATTTGTGGAGAAATCGTCCTGCAGCCAGACTCTGGGTGACCTGTCTGGACTGGACCCTCACGGGGATTTCAGTGGGAACCCGCCTCAGATATGTACCGAACCGCTGATCCCCACGACCCCGAGTGTACCCAGCGAGGAAATGGCCAAAATTTCGTGCAGCCTAGAGACCAAGGAGCTCTGGGACAAATTCCACGAGCTAGGCACAGAAATGATCATTACAAAATCTGGGAGGTAAGAGGCACTCATCTGAATACAATTTAAGGTCTTATCCAGGACCACCTTAAACTCCTAGAATTCTTCAGAAAAATAACCTGGTACCGCGAATGAACTCCGTCAGCAAACACCTAGAGCCTAGCTTCTTTGATGATTGTGGAAGCAGAGACGAGAGAAATCAGACGAAAAAAATAACGAGGGTAGAAACTGAAAGAAAATAACGAAAAGCTTCCTGTACACAGGTGACGGGGCATTTTCAGCACCACACTAAAATACAAAACGTCAGTCACCAAGTGCTGTAACTTGTAAAACGAACTACAGTACTCGACCTGCGCTAGAATTGCGCGGTTTAAGAAGTGTTGCAAATTGTTCTGCAAACTAAACACACGTGATCTATACAGGTAAATTCTTCTAATCCAAGCAGATTTAAATAAACTTTGAAACACGTTTGACAGGTGGAACATTTTTTTAACACTTTCATGCGCAGGGAAATGTACTGTAGATGAATGGGCACACATGGTGTCTTGCATTGTGAAAAGGGTAACCTTTTAGACCATACCGCGTATTTCTGAGTATTTTATGAATATTTTGTTCTTTTTTTAATTTGAGAATAGAAGTGTCGCTGTGTAGATCAACTATCAATAAAAACAAATTGTTATGGCAGAAAGATTATATAAAATGACCAGGTTAACAAAAAAAGCTAATGACATGGCATAGGTTGGATCGGATTTGAAGCATTTTTCTTTAAATTTAAGAATACCGTTAAGTAAATGTATATAAGGTAGCCACTAATTTAATATGGTATAACATACCTAATGAAGAGATTTCAGAAGCAACAACAATAATTTAAAGATTAAATTATCAATTTTACATAGTAAACCAGGTATTTTCTGTTTATACTGCAAATCTTAGAATATTATTATTATTATTATTATTATAACAAATAACAAATAACGAATTTAACTTTTAATTAACTTTAATTTAAAACCACGCTTATTGCAAAATAAGTAGAATAACGGCGAAAAATTGGTAACTAATTGAGAAAATAAATGTAAACGGCGAAATCACTAGGAATTTTACGCATATTACGGGTTACACTGTATATTTAGCAGATAGTTACATGACAGAAAAATAAACAAAAGCCCATTGAAACAAAACACATTTTTCCTGCTAATAATTATTTGTTTTGCTTTTAGCCAAGTTCTTATTTTCATATCGATGAGAAAACAAAAACGTTACAAGATCTGGAGAAACCCTTCGAGGAATTCTCTATCATTACAGTATATGCTATGTAAAATATATATATGCTATATATAATATATTATAATATAACCATTATTTGTTTAGCAATTATATATATTATACTACGATAATATCTGTTTAAATTAAGTTTATACAAAAACGTCTGTCGTGTTAAATACAATAATTAAATCTGAATACGAGATCACGATCTTCCCTATATTTCTTCTGTCCCTGTGTACAGTGAATACTTATTGGTCGTTTTCTGTGTTGTTCAAACTGTTGTTCAAACTTTACCAGGTGTTGAGTTTTCTGCTCTGTTTTTACACATTCTGACACTTAATTGCTTTGTTAGTAATTCATCTACTGCACCTCATTAGGCCATATTATCTCCATTAGCACTTCACGTATGTATCAGTAATTGTGTATACGCAGTAAACAATTTGAAGGAATATTTTGTGTACGCCTAAATCCTTTTGGTTGTTATAAACGCGGTTATATTTTTGTATGATGTTTCCCGTTTGATAATATAGTTTCGCGTTTGCACCTGTTGCTAAAATACACAACGGAGTGTTAAACGGGTTGTAAATACTAAAAAGCGCTTTTAATATGCTGCACGGAATATCTCATTCATAACCACAGTACGGTCACAAAACGTGGAGGAAAAAAAATCCATCTTTAGGCACCAGTATTCCTAGATAGGCGTGGATAAGCTGTTCTTTATGTTGAGTTTCTTCCAGGCCAGTCTCTCAACTCGGCGGTCCGTTTTTTTTTATTCTCTCCCTATTGCAGGAGAATGTTCCCGACCATCCGTGTGTCCTTCTCCGGGGTTGACCCGGACGCCAAGTACATCGTGCTGATGGACATCGTTCCCGTGGACAACAAGAGATACCGATACGCCTACCACAGATCATCTTGGCTAGTGGCTGGGAAAGCAGACCCCCCCCTGCCTGCACGGTGTGTGTTCCTCGGCAGTCAGATAAAACTGCTCCCTTTCATTTCCTCTTGCTACCCTGAGACACTCCCAGAGTCTCTCGTCTTGACTAAGGAGCCTACTGCCGCACGTCGGCCGTGCCGTTCAGGCGGTAGGGAGTAGGACACCTGATGAACGCGCAGCAGGGCCACAGCGCCCGGTTGATGAATTTAGCAGACGGACAGGAAGGGGCAGGAGGCGTCCCACGGAGTCCGTAGAGGCTGAGAGACCTCTCGAAGTCCAGGGTTGCGAGCCGTTTGAAAATACCCTGATGACACGAATTGATATTGACATAAACACGGGCACCAAACCAGACAGTTGAAAAGCATGAAACTTACACTGACGAGAAGCAAGAAATGGTTGTAGCAAATGCTTCAGCTTTGAAACTAATGCTTAAAGAATTAAGTTCCCCATACTGTAGGTGTTGACGGTGCACTCAAAGCACGGGATTTGTATCGACGTAACCTTTGCTATGTGGTGTTTTTCAGGCTGTACGTTCACCCGGACTCACCTTTTACCGGAGAACAGCTACTGAAACAAATGGTTTCCTTTGAAAAGGTCAAGCTTACCAACAACGAGCTGGATCAACACGGCCATGTACGTGGCGGTTGGTGAGGCATGCAAGTGTGCATGGATTTAAAAAAATCTCTTTGCGAGGTGCAAGTCATGAAAACAAGAAAGTGATATAACCCAGCTCAATATAATGAAATGATGTACGGTATCATAACACTTGCCATTTGCATTTTGTTGTCATATGTGTGCGTATTTTAAAAATTGAATGATGTCGCTATAATTTCTAGCACTTGTTACGTCTACTGTAGGAAGCTTAATTCGTCTTTTAATTAGCTTCTATTTTAAATGTAGGGAATATATTATATTCTTAGGATTTGGGTGCACAGTATCTGTTATCACGAAGCTGTTTAAAGACGGTTAATCTTATTGTCCATCTTCAATCGCCATCACTAGGCTAATACAATATGCAGTATACAGCGTACTGTAGGTCTGCTGCTGGTGTAAACGATTCCCTACTTAATGGCGGACGCGTTACTTCACAGTAGTGTCCCTTAAAAACAACACTTACAAATTAACGTGCCTGAAGAACACACAGGTCAAATTATGTTCCGGTGTTATCGTGTACCCAGATTCTTGCCTGATAAGGCTGTTTTTTTTTATTGTTTGTTTGTTTGCTTGGAAAACGTTAGAATTCCACTTCTGCTTCATCAAGAGCAAAATAATCGAATTTAACTATAGCCCGGTACTCTCTAACGGTTGCTATGGATACTCAAGTAATCAGTGCATTAAGGGAAACAGGATGTAAAGATTAAAATCTTCCTTGGACAGGTTCTTAATGCAGTCCATTGCATTTATTAGCTTACATCTAAAAGCATTTTACTTCAAAGCCAATTTTCCCGTAAGCGCTGATTACTTGACTACTATGAGCAACTATCAAATAGTTTCAAGTTTCCCTGCAATACGTCATATTTCAAACTGCGAGAATATACAAAATCAGCACTAGTTCGTCTTTCGTTTCTGATCTTTGCCGACTCTCTTCCACATCAACGATCACTTGCGTTATCGGCGTCAGGCGTTGACCATTAATGTCAATCATGGATATTAATTACGGGGTGAGATGTGAGGTCATTTAATTGGGGAAGGCCTGTGTTTGACCAAAATGTGCTAGAAATGTTAGCTGTTTTCTAATAATCTGTTTTAAAAGCCTTTATATTTAAAGTCAACAAAAATAAAAAGAATGTAAATGATAGTGACAGGTCACTAAGATAACGGCAAAAATGTATCGAGCGGCTTCGTGCCGGTGGAAAAATTAGACTTTACAGGCTATATGATATTATTCCTTTACCTAAGAGTGCCACAATGTTTAACATGGGAAAGTCCAAAAATTGAAATAAACGCTTTTCTGTGTTTTCTCCGATCGTGTGGATTTAGTTTCTGCTTTTTTATCTCTTTAAGGTCAATGTCACATTTCTTCAACATTGACAAAAAATGAGAAAAATTTTCACATAAAAAAATAAAAACGTTACTGCACTAAAAACGTACTGTCTGACGAAGGAATGAACTTAAGTATTTGTGTTTAAATCTATCAGCTTTAAGTTTTAACCCCCCCTCCACCTCACCCCTCTTAGGAAGCCTTACAAAAAATTTTAAATGGTGCCCCCTTTCAAGATCAATAAGCTGTTTTGAGAGCAGAAAATATCCCGATGAATGAGACAGAAGATTCCAAAGTTCAACGTTTTCAGTAAGCGAGTAGCTGGGCAGCAAAACGGCGAATGGTTACAAAGACGAAACGGGTCATATCTTTGATCTCCTTTCAGACACTTAAGGTGCCTATTTGTTTAAAATCAGGCTATCGGGGAACTGCATTGCAATTGCTGTCTTGCTGGTTGGTAATTTGGCTCTTATTTACAAACCGCAGTCGGTCTTCGGGGCCAGATGCTGTCTGAGGTAGTAATACTCTGAGGTGACTCCTGGAGAGTTTCAGAAAGATGGTACGGTGGCTGAATTATATTTGCTGGATGGATTCTTCTTTGTAACCTTTCTCGCGTTCTTATGTTCACATGAAATCCCGTCCAAAATATTTTTCTCCATCCCGTGGTACAAGATTTGTTCAGAGGCACAAGGCTAACAATGTCGTCTACTTGATTTCATCCGATGAAGTCATTCTCTCTGCTTCCTCTGTTTTTGTTTGTTAGATCATTTTAAACTCCATGCACAAGTACCAACCCAGGGTTCACATCATTAAGAAGAAAGATCACACGGCCTCTCTGCTCAACCTGAAGTCTGAAGAGTTCAGGACCTTCATCTTCACAGAGACTGTGTTCACTGCGGTCACAGCATATCAGAACCAGCTAGTGAGTCAGCATTCAGTGGATGTTCATCCTTTTCAGGGCTCGGATTGTCTTGTCATGAGCTATCAAATCATTTTTGCTGGATGGCTGAAAGAGAAAGGAAAATGACATTGCCAGTTGCCAGTAACCGAATACCAGAAGCTATTTGCTTCAGTCTGCTTAGAGAATCGGGAGAGTTTCTAATTTTTTCACGGTTTAGTCTCTGTAAGCATTTGAGAATGATTCTGGAAGGTAATCCTGGTGTTTTGCTTTTCCCGTGCAGATAACGAAACTGAAAATCGACAGCAACCCCTTTGCAAAAGGATTCAGAGACTCCTCCAGGCTGACAGACATTGAGAGGTACTGGGAATTTCGTGTTTTTCCTTCTCCAGATAAGATAAAATGAAGAGTAAATGGAGAGAGGGGGCTGTTTAAGAAGCTCTCATTAGTGCTGTGAATGTGTGGGCTTCGTTTTGACAGAACCTTGCTGATAATAAGCTGTTCCATCTGACTGCGAATGGCTACTATCCAGACAACCAGTTCCAACATCTGTATGGTTTTATACCAAAAGAAAAGCAGATCTTCACCAAGGCCTCTGACCCTGTTTACAGAGCTAGATACGTCTGGGATGGAGAAGGGTCAGTGCGTGTAACGTGTGGAGGAGAAAAAAGCAACAAAATTAAATCGTTTTCATAAACAAGAAAATATACTGTCCCCCAGCGCTGACCTTTGAACTGGAAACTTCAGAACGTGTTCTCCAAACCAGATGTTAATACAGAACACTAACGAAGCTTTCAATAATTGTGGAGAAAAAATTAAGAAATTAATCGAACATAGTATTTTTTTTTTTGAATTTATACGATCAGGGAAGTATGAGATCCATCTAATTTTCAAATTTCCTCCATAATTTGATATTAGCCAAGAAAGCAAAAAAAAAAAGCAAAGATAGATTTTGTGGGTTTAAGTCCCACCTAAACGAATTTTAAAAGCTGTAAATCATGATAAGAACCAGCTAGGACTTTAGAGCTAACGTCCACAAGTGAGCTCCCGTCTAGCCCTGTTTCAGAACAAGGACTGTTTAAATCCGTGGGTTATCAGGTCCTCACCGCCACCCAAACTCCCCCCTCCAAAAATAAATAATTCTTTGGGGCTACAAATTAAATCTGATCAATTGATCTTTAGAGACCTGAAGAAATTGTATTAGTCTGGAGTCAGTTACTGCACTAAAACATGATGTAATTCAATTGGTTCCAGTAACTGATTGAAAACAGCTCGTATTGGCTGTCCGGTGAGGCTGTTTTTTGAACAGATCTGAGATAAAAACACACATATTTATATTACATGCTGACAGAAATTGCACTTTCCTAACCTAATTGGGAAGCTAATATAAATGTATGGCTTTAATAATGTAAAACATTCTTGTCCAGGATTTACAAGTCGGCTGTCTCAAAGACTAATCCGGGGGTAATGCAGTTAGCAGGCAGTGCAGTGCGCGCTATGTACACGTGTCTGCGGATTTCAAAGGCTTCAGGAGATCTCACAACCTCATGTTGTTTGTGTATCAGATGTAAGAGCATAAGAGCCTGATACACCAAGTAACTGTGGAAAAAAATAATTGAGAATTCAATTGCCAGTCAAAGGAGTGGTAATTTGACGTATCAAGATTAGTACTTTACAGATGGCATTCACAGACTCTGTTTAGCACTTATGGCCACTTGCCATTTGTGCTAGAGGTATGACTGTCATCAATTAGTGCACAAGGAAGCTTTTGAGTATCTCTGCAGTTATCAAGATATTAAGCAATATGTATGAGGCTGAGTGTATTCACTCAAACGCTGCTGTTCTTTTCAATAAATGTCTTAAAATGAGCCTACCAAAATCTTGTGCCCGTCTGTGAGCTCCACATCACCTGCAGTCTTTAAACAGGCATCGAAAGCTGCTTAGAGCACTTTTTTTGTGCGTTCGAACAAGAATACCTTGCAGGAATCAATTGACTGTCAGCGAAAAAGGTCTGTGCAGACAAAATGTAGCCCTGGACGTCACAGTGCACCCTGAAAGATTGATCTGTTAGCTGCCCAGCTGTCAGTAAGCATTCGATCGGCAATGTAAGAAGAGATAGGAAAGCGAACAGGTCTTCAGCGATGGCCTCAGGTGTGTACCGGCAGAAATATTTTGGTTTGTTTTTTGGTTCCTGCTGTAGGGAAAGTGTGGAGAGTTTGATCCACAAGCACTCCTACGCACGATCGCCGATCCGGACGTATGCTGGCGAAGACGAAGGCCTGGGAGAGGAAGGACACGTGCCACACAGCAGAGGTAAGGCCGACCCGCCCATACCCCAGCCCCCAGCATAAAAGACACATAACTTCCAAATCATTTCCAGAATCGCAGCAGTAAAGTCAAAACTGCTGTTGAAAATAGCATTCGGATTCCTAACACTGTGGGACAAAGCAAAATGAAATAAGGAAAGTGTTTTCAGCTGATATTGTAAACCCAGGAACCATCTGCCTGCAGCTAGGTGGGTTAGATAATCAAACGTGTGCCCTTTCCCCCGCAGGGTCGGCCTTCACCGCCTCGGAGAACCTGTCGCTCAGCTCCTGGGTGACCACCTCCTCCGGCTTCCCGGGCTTCCAGCCCCCCGCCCCCCTGTCGGCCCTGGGCACCAGCACGGCCTCCCTCGCCAGCCCCCTGCCCCACCCCATCCAGGGCTCCCTGCCCCCGTACGGCCGCCTGGGCGTGCCCCTGGCCCCCGGGGCCCTGTCCGGCTCCATGCAGGGCAGCGGCCCGGCCTTCCCCTCCTTCCACATGCCCCGCTACCACCACTACTTCCAGCAGGGGCCCTACGCCGCCATCCAGGGGCTGCGCCACCCCTCCACGGTCATGACCCCCTTCGTGTGACCCCCCCCCGCCCCCGGCTGGACCCGCCGGAGTCCGGGAGACGGCGGGAGACTCGCAGGACGAGAAGAGGACTCTGAACAAGTTTCGGGACGCGCCGTGAACGGCGGGGGGGGCTCGGGGATAGCAGATTCCTTCAGACTCCTGCCGAGGGACCTGGCTGCTGCCTGAACCTTCAGAAAACAGCTGTTCTTCTGCCGTGCGTGCCGGCCGTACTCTGTGGCCTGAACAGGGGACAGCGGTGCTTACAGACGCAGCGAACGCGAGCTGGTGATGAGGAGCCATTCCACAGGGTGTACGAGGCGCACAGGAGGGGCTGTTGCCTTTGCCGACAACGTTCCTCTGAAGGATTTCCACCCGTCTTCACGCCGTTAAAACTGACTCCCGAGCTCGACCCACCCCCCCCCCCCAGAGGCAGCGCGCTGTGGATCTTTCCGTGTTTTCTTTATTTAATGCCGGGGGGTGGTTTGTGTCGCGGGACGTGTGAAACCAAATGCACTACGGAGCACAGACAGTTCGGTCCACCGCAGCCGGAGTCCGACGGGGAGGTACGCTCAAGCCTACTGTCTCCAGAGCCCGGCAGATTCTCGAGTTCAACCATCTCCCGGTTCGATTCTCCCAAACAGGAAACTAAGAGGTTTTAATATGATAAAAGAATAGGCATTTTGTGCATTGTCTTTCTGTATTCTAGGATATTACATTGCATTGTTATAGGAATGCCAGTTATTGGAATCAGAGGCCCTTAATTCTTTACCATTCCTCCCCCGGTCTTATCATCTTCATTCTATAGTGACAGTTATATTTTCCTGAAGCTGACGCACACGGTGCTAATTTTGGCCCATGTAAAATGTCAGATCATCTTTGAACTACCGTTGTGAGCTGATCCAGCATCTGGGCTCCTAAAGCAGTCCTTTCGCAGATAAGTTTGAACAAGCCTGAATAACACCTAAGCCCTCAAACGGTAGTAGCCTGCAGATGAACCTGAACGTGACATTGCTGTATGAAAACAGTTCCTATTTTTGATGAGAGTTCCGGAACCTATTCTTTTAGGAATCTGCTGCTTTAATAGAGTTTATTCTCTTATCATAGAATAGACGCTACTAATGATGAATTCAGCCGTTATTTTTTAAGGACGCATTATACCTTAAGGAAACTGGATTCAGCTTAGACATTGTAAACATCTTGCCCCGCTAATGTCATGATTATTAATTTACTTTTTGGAATATGATATGACATCATAAATCATCATTGCTCACAAGCCTTGGAATTTAAGCAGCACCCCCTGACTGGCAAGTCATTCGCTGAGATTCCTTTAAGAATTTCATTATTAAATTGCAATTCAGCAGTGGTTTCTGTTGCAGTTACTGTTCAGTGCCCTAAATCCGTGATGTGAATGAATCTCTACCTCCAACCTGGATGCAGGTAGAGACCCACAAGTGCTGTGCTTGTGACAGCAGCTGTTGGTTTCTGCAGTGTGTTCATCCACTGGGTGGCCTCTAAATATCTCAAGCTGTTCCCAGATCTTCTAGGAGGAAATCTGCACCAGAATTGATTAATCTCAATTGTCTCTTTCCTCAAGGGCTGCGGTTATTCATAATCAGCGTGTTAACCAGCGGGGTTAGAGGATTGTGTGTTTCTTGATTTAGGTTATTTTTATTTTTCTCTGCCTCCCGCTTTCTGGATGACCTCAACATACTTAACAACAAAGCCCCAATGAGATCCAAGTAACTGTGTGAATTTCAATTCCATTATTCCACCATTTTGATGTCAGAGTGTTGCAAGGAAAACTGTTTCTCTATAGAAGAATATCTCAGCCATAAGGAAGCACGAATCTGTTGTGTGCTCTTAATTTAATGTCCATTCTGAAATTGTGAAGTGCTCAGATGCCCCTGTAATTGGCATTATAGATGAATGACTTGTTCATAAGAAGTTTTTACAGTTCGAGATAAACACACAAGAAGCTTGTAAAAACAGTGCCGAAGCAGAGATGTCTGACACCACAGCAAATCAGCAGCACTAAATATCCTATTGACTCCCCAGTTTGCTGGTTTATAGATTTGTGTGAAAAGAGTTTGGCCTCTTTGTAAGACGGCCTTTGAGGAAGAACAGGAACAGCCCTGAGTGCTTCTAGGATTGCTGTTACAGAGATGTTTCATGTTAATTCATCTTGTACTTTATCATAGCTGGCTTTTAATTGATACATGAAATATGTAAAGTACCCTATATAAACCAAAAACTGTACAAGAGTCATGTTTTGGTTCTGTTTCCAGTTAGTTATCTGTTTCAGCTTCACTGCAGGAGCACTGCTGCTTTTACCAAATTGAATGCTGTGACTGCTGTCTACGATTACGGACTAATACAGGAAATGTTAAATATTAACAACAGCCCACACTCTTGCCGTATGTGTGAAAAGCATGTAAAATCTGAACAACCCTCGTGATAATTTAATCAATAACTTAAAAAAAAAACAATTCTTAATAAGCTAAAGAAAACTTGTGAACAGGAATCAACCTCTTTACTGCTGCCTTGGTGAACAGCATTTATACCAGTACCATATTTCTTCATTTTGGGTTCCTCAATGGAAAAGAAAGAACATCAAATGAAATATATTTTCATACTGGCTGCTATTTTTAGTGTAATAATAGTGTAAATATCAAAGTTAGAACACTTCAAACCAAAGTTGTTGTTTTTTTTTCAGGTGAACTGATTTCTTTGAATGCAATGCACCATAACTGTACTGCAGATCCCTGTTTCTTGTACTTTGTGGATAGTGCATTGTGTGAGCAAATCTGTTGCATTGGAAACAGATGTATAAAAACTGTTTTTCTGTACAATATATTCAAAAAATGGAGCAACATCGAATACGATTTTGTTTTTTAAAAGTGCAATATATTTATTTCTGCTCTTGAAATGATAATGCATTGTTATGTAATATTGGAAGCACTAAAAATAGATGTTATTTGTAAGGAATAAAATCACAAAAAGAGGTCAGTGTTTTCTATTGAAGGCCTATGCAGATAGGGGTGTCTTATTGGATTCTGAAATGTTTCATTGCAGTCAACAAATGTTTACAGTAGAATGGACAACAACATTAGAAATCTAATGACTAAAACAGTCACAATGTCATGTCATATGCAAAGTACGTCTGGTTGAACAGACGCTTATTCACTTTTTCAAAAGGCTGACTAATAATTACTGTAAAAGAATGTGTTGCTACTGTGTTTTTCCGGTCAAAATCCATTAGTGATATGGGAAATTTTGAATGCAACTAAAGTTTAAGTGTTCCAACTGCAAAGTCAATCAGGGCATGACTGTCGTTACTGACCCAGAAAACAGGCCAATATGACAAAGAGCAGCCCAGCAGTTGATACTAACCAAAAAAAAAAGAGGGAGAGACAGATCCTTTAGTTCAGCAGAATTTGGTGAGATTCATTTCTAGTACTTCTTTGGCTCAATCATGGCTGGGAGTAAAAGGAGGATTCACAACATATCAAGTGACAAGAGCTGAGGACTGTCTCCAGAACATCAGTTTCTAAACAAAAATATTCTACACATACTGTACTTTCTTTGTAATAAGAGCAGAAAGCTTCTGAAAAATAATGACCGCAGTTAAAGATGACCATTAGTCCTTAAGAAATCTAAAATGTTGTATGAGGCGTCTACTTTCTGGAATGTTTCTGTGACCAACATGAAAAGGTGCAGCCAAAGTATATGCAAGCTACAGCCTAGTTGTTAAGTGTCTGGCTGCTGTTCCAGTGTGGGGAAAATAATGTTTAAAAAGTAGTCTATTACAGTTGTGAGTTACTTTTTCAAATTAACAAGACTCTGAGGGAAATTCATTTTAAGAAGTCATCAGTGACAGTGATGTAATGTCTGAATAGGTAGAAGGTAAAATAATATATTACCTCCTAAGAATCTACCTCCTGTTTATCTCTTATTTTCAGGTTTTCATGGGACTCTTCAGTTGTCAGTTATCAATATAAAAATGGACACAAAATATCCATAAAGACAAGACTTCGAAGTAATTTTGCAGAATGAAAAAATCTAGCACAAATCTATGGATGTCATTTAAAAAATGTCATATAACTTTATCTTCTTAAGACCTCTATTGGCTTTGAGGAACACGGCAGAAACTGAAGGGTGTTCACCCAGCATCTTTATAAATTTGTAGGTTTATAAATTCTCCTGTCGATTATGGGTTTTTTTTTGTCCATCCATCCATTTTTTAACCTCGTCATCGAATTCAGGGTCACGGGGTTAGCTGGAGCCTATCCCAGCAAGCAACGGGTGCAAGGTGGGGTACACCATGGGTGGGACACCAGTCCGTCACAGGGCAGGCGCAGACACAGAGACACACACTCACACCAGGGCCAGTCTTCCAAGAAGTCCTTTAACCTACCAGTCTTTGGACTGGGGGAGGAAAAATCCCCTGGAGGAAACCCACACACACTTGGGGAGAACACAAAAACTCCACCCAGATAGCACCCCAGGAACTGAACACTAGCCCTGACACAAAACCCAGCGTGCTATACGTGCGCAGCGTTGGGGTGCTCTTCTGCTATCAATCACCGCGCAGAGGGAGGAGTGCCACCTACTGGGCCAGGCACTGCACTTTCAGAAACACCCTGTTCATTTTCAGATGCTTTTCATCCACCTATCACCCAAACCCAATCTTTTTCTTTCGGTAGGTGGTCTCGCCTTGTTTTCAGAATAGGACGCTTTTATTATAATTACAGTCTGCTCAAAAAATACTTAGGGACCTTTATCTTCCTGAGACTTTCCACGCATTTAAAAATGTTTTATTTGGTAATAATGTGCTTTTTTATATTTTGGCGACTAAAACTATACCCCAGTATTTTTTTTTCTATGTTTTGAAACAAAAAGCTCATTGTTCGTCTGGCGCTTTATTAAAACATTAATAGAACTAAAAGCTACAATTCACACTAACATTAGAATTGTCTAATGATAGTTCAGTATTTTAAAAGTTTGAAATTCAGTGGCTTACTGGGGTTTTTGCAAATGTTACCATTTGCAAAGCACATTGCTGAAACAAATTCCACTTGATAAGATGAAATCAGACATGGTAAAATAAAAATAAAAATCTGCAATTAGATATAAATAGTGGTTGATATGTACATCCAATATACCTGTTCCAAAAATTAGATTAACCCCCTTTGATTCATGACTATTAAGGTAGAAACTGTTTTACTACCTAATGATCACAAAATCTGTACATTTACTGTACTAAAATCTGTATTTTAGACAATTAAGCCCAGGCTTCTGAAAAACAGTGACGCAAAACTTTCATGATGAATAATTACTGTAAATAAAATAATTCACCCTCCTGCTTACATTTTTCAAGGGCATAAGCAGTTTACAGGGCACAGTTGCCCCTCAGCGGAGTCAGAACTGTATGAGGAAATGACAGGACTGACTGACAAGATCCTCCGCAGTTGTTAAGGAATGAGTTAGGGAGGCAGCTACAAGGGTACGATGGGATGGAGGGAGGTGAGCTGAAGAAGATCCCTGCAAAGAGAGCTCAGCAGGTGAAATGTTTCTGTGCCAGAGAGAGAAGAAGACACAGAAGTGCAAGATTACAATTTGACCTCCTACTGAACTTCTGTTTAACAACCCCACATGAGTTCCAAACTTCATTGCAACATCTAATCTAATGGACAGACCTTCTCTGTCTCTCTCAACACATACATAAAGCCGTCCCACAAAACACACACTGGGTTCATTGCACAGTGTAAAAAAGAGCTTGTAAGTGCCAGTCAACTAATTAACAGCTGACTTTACCAGCAATAACCATCAATGTTTTGTTTCACTAAACTGCGGTTGTGGGGGAATCATTTTGCAATTTTTATGTTCAGGTATTTTCAACTTTAACCATCTTTGAAAACCATCATATTCAATAGCTGTGTGAGGACGGCAACAATGGCTTGATTATTGTGTAATGTATTTGAGCGAAAGTTTTGATTTTATTTGGATGAAGTCCCACAACTGTGTTTTTATTAATGTGCTGATCTTTCCTAAGAATTAAGCTGTAAGATAGACAGACATACTATACTTAGTTCAGGTGGGTAGCTGCGTCAGCATGCGTAGGCTGCAAAGGAACAAGTAATAGGTTTATTCCATGCTGAAAAAAAGAAGAAAGAGAACACAACGTTTCGGCCGTGGAGCCTTCTTCAGGTGTGAGCAGATCCTTGCTCACACCTGAAGAAGGCTCCACGGCCGAAACGTTGTGTTCTCTTTCTTCTTTTTTTCAGCATGGAATAAACCTATTACTTGTTCCTTTGCATACTATACTTAGTTCTGAAATGTAAAATTCTCATTTTTTCCAAGGATTTGCTTGGAAAAGTGGAGGATTTTTGGAGCATGTGCTTTCTGTTTTTTTACGCTTCAGTGTCTCAACTCAAGTCGATACTCTGTTAAGGCACATGTCTACTATTCAATAAGACAATCTATACTCCTGCAATTATGATTAGATTATATGAGAATAATGGACTTTATTAGGATGAGAAATTATTAAACAAATTGGCTAGATGCTCTGTATAGCCCATTTCTGAAAAGCACTGGTCAATTCATCCAGCAGTTTTGCAGTTTGAAGTATTAGCTGAGTTTAATGCAATTTCCATCAATTTTAGGTTGTTCAAAATGGCAATGTGAATACTAGAATGTATTACATTTCCAGATGCTTTAGCTTTTGCCTTTGTAAAGCTGAATACTCAATAATGTCCCGACAAACAGTCCTTTAAATTTATTTATTTGACATTTGCTGTTTCTCTGCAGTGCAAGTGCCAAAGACACATGGGACATCCCTGTTACTGAGTCTTTCCAATATACAGTACATGTAAAATATTCTGAGATTCAAGAAGCTCCACATTTCAGCTGATATCGCAGATTTATTGCTTTAGAGGTATCCAATCAATATTATCAGTCACACCGGGACAGAATTCCTCATTAAAGAGCAGTTGCAGTTCAGCTGCTGTCACAAATAAGGGATGAATGTTTTTAATATTTTTGTCTCATAAATATTGAATTTGTTTATGCATTCCCTGTGAAGGTTAGGACCCTCTACTTTAGTCACAAGAACAAACAAGAGGAAGGCCGCCCAGTTCGTTCTGGTAGCTCATAGTCAATCGATCCAAGGATCTGGATCTGAAGCCAGGGATCGGCTTCAACAGCGTGGCTGGGCAGTTTGTCTCACACCCCCACAACCCCCTGTGGGGAAAAGCGCCCCCTCTTCCAGACCTTCTCTTTCATCCCAATGTTTCTTTTTTACAAAAACAGTGGTTAAATGACAAGGAATTACGATAATGCACTTGGACAGAGGTCCTATTAAATCTTGATACTGGATGACAACCACTGTATCATTAGAAGGAGACTTCCTGGGTTCCTAAATGCCATTTAGATATTTCAATTTTATTTTCAAATAATCTTTGGAATTAACTAGAGGTTAGGTTTGGCCATTTGTCATTCTGATATTGAAGACTACTATTACTAATAATACACTATTAATACCCTTATTTGATTTTTTTACCATATACATAAAAGTTCTTGTTGCTTGTCTTGTCTTGGGTTTTTGTTAGCTTCCAGTCCTGAGGAGGCTTAGCAATGCCTAACAAACCAACCAAATTCAGGATTCGCCCACTTTACTCGGGAAAGAATTCTTCAGGAAATTTCACAACTGAATAGTCCTATGAAGTTTATTATGACAAGATACAAGATCTTGTATAAACTGAAATGTCAATATAAATCTGACTTCTGATAAGGTCTACCAACCTTGACCACTATGGTAACCTAATTTTCCCAGTTACTTAGAGGCCCCTTAACGAAATGAAAACCTAATAATGCTGCTGCCATGAATAATTAATTGTACTTGTACAAAGTACTAAACAAAATCCATTTTCATTTGATTAGAGGTTTTCTTGGAACTCTGAAGTGCACTGCATCTCCTCCATTTCCTTCTTCATCCTTATCTCTCTTCAGCAGCTCGGTGGGGAGCTCTGTTACACATTGCCGAGAGATTTAACCTTCCTGGCAAAACGATAAATACGGTCGCTGTAGCAATATCTGATATCCCCTTCCTTTTTTTCATTCATTTGACCGTAGTGCAGGTCAGACGATACGCTACAGCAGAGTCATGTACTACCAAGCTGTGCCTTAAAGGGTGTGAAAGGACAAGGCGACCCTATAACACAGGGAGAAAGGGGATGTACTGTTCTGGAGGCAGAAGGCACATTTCACCTGGCATTGAAGCTCACGAGTGCGGAGCAAACCTCCTGTGGCATTCAGAGCCCAGCGCTGCACTGTCCGTTCGGGAGGAGTGTGCAGCACCCGCTGGGCGATTGCACCCCCCAGAGCAGCGTTAAACTGCGCCTGGTTTGAGGAGAGGGCTAAACACTTGACCCTAATTTCACCCCTCTCTCTCCTGAGCCAGCATTACGAATGTTGTACTTTCATCCACTGGTCTTTGTCTCGCTCAATGAGACCCTCCAACTTGCCGCAAGGTGTCTGTGTGTGGCGAGCTCTCTTCTGCTGGGGGCGAGGGCTGTCCACTTCCGGAAACACAGCTGCCAGTGCCAAACCATTATCCCAGCAGGCTCGGGAGACAGGATCAATTATCACTTGCATTTCTCTTTGTGTATCTGAGAAAAGAACACGAGCACCAACTATAAAATCTCAAACTTCCCTTCCTTCCGAGACAGTGGCAACGTCCTCATTTGCCTTTTAGATATACTGTATAGTTAATATCGGCAACAACAAAAAAGCAGTTCATTATGCTCCAGGGAAAAATATACCCTTGGCTAAATTGTACAGTAATTCATAGCTCATTTCCACAGAGCAAATCAATAGACTCGAGTGCTGGTTCTTCAGCTAAACTGACAATTCACCCTGATTTGCATTAAGCACAAATAATTGTGTAATCAATTCAATCATCAATAATATAAATCATGACCATAACCGACAGCCTTGCATCAGCATTCCCACACAACTCCAACTCTCCCCTGTATGGATGATGTAAGGCAGAGAGCTTCTGGTGTCGCCTCTCCTCATCGTTTTTACAAACGTGTGTGCTCCTCAGGGATCTGATTCCCAATTAAATGTAAGGCGAACGCCATTGACCTGCATATGTTCCAAAATAAAACATCAGATGTGTTATTTAATGAAATCTAGAGGAACACATCAATACAAAATCAGACAGGAGAAGACCTTGCTCCCATTGAAACTGCCTCAGCAGTCTTGACATAGATCTAGAAGGGATCTACCCTGATCCCCACAGCACAGCAGGGGTGTGATCTAGTGAGGGCAGGGCCTAATGAGAAGGCACGCTGCACTGCACTGGGGGAATAATACTTTCCTTCCGAAAGCAGAAATTCAGATTCCCCCGAGCAGTAAACAGAACGCAGCTCAAAGAAAAGGGCACAAGCACCTCTGACACTGCCGTTTCCAAAATTCTAAAATGGCATTTTAAAAACCAGCAAAATGAACCACAATACCATTGAGCCCATCCAGTTCGTTCTGGTAGTTAATAGATAATCGATCCAAGGACCTCGCCCAGCTGTTTCCTGAAAGAAGCCAGGGATCAGCTTCAACAACAGCGTGGCTGGGCAGTTTGTTTCACACCCCCACAACCCCCTGTGGGGAAAAGTGCCCCCTCTTCTCAGACCCTACTCTGATTTAGAATTAGCTCATGGTATTGAAATTCTTTTTCATCCCGATGTTTCTTTTTTACAAAAACTGTGGTTAAATGACAAGGAATTACGACAATGCACTTGGACAGAGATTCTATAAAATCCCGATTTCAAGACTTTTCTCTTGGGTCTATTTCTTCTAGGAATTGAGCAGGCAGGTAACTCCACCATCCCCTCTTATGATGTTATTTTAGAACCATGAAGAACTTTATTTCAGACACTATTTCAGAGACTCCTCCCCACCCTAACTCCACGGCCATGTCTTTCTCCAGTCTTGTAGCTCCCTCCTGTCCACCGCGAACCTGGCCTGAGGCTCTGCCCATTCACCTTTTGCTGCTCGTCTTTCCTTGGTCGTGTTTGTATCCTGCTTTAAAAGGGCAGCAAAACGAAGATCTAGCGCCGAGCTCCGGCCAAGATGCAGCAGCCTTCTGACAAGAAGAAAGATTTTTGTTCTGGGTCGTCAATGTGTTGCAGCTCATGATCACGGCTGGCCACCACCAGACCGTGGTGAGATCAAGCCCTCGGTCTTCCCCCTGCCACTCCTGTCTGCTCGTAAGGGCTCGGCCATTGGACTTGGGAGAATTTCCACAGCTATTCAATATAGGCTTTACAACTGCCGCTTGCTTCCATGAGTGCTATAGAAACTTTGTATGAACCCGATTGATTTCATTGACTTCAGTTTACTGATTCAAGCTCATCCACAAAAGTGCATCTATTCTAGCTAATATGTAATCGCAAGTAACAGTTTATTCATCCAGCTTTCTCAAATCAACAGTACTCAGCCTGATCATTTTTTTAAAAAGCAACATTTTAGAAAATTATGTAAAGCCTTTATTTATAATACATTTGTTCAAAAGATAGTACTTGTTTTAACAGATTACATTTTTACACTAAAACTTGGATGGCTGAGAACACCTTCTGCAGGCATTTTTAAACCAGTCTTCCTGAAAGCAGGATTGTCTTCCATTACTTGCCCAGACAAGATCATTAATTAAAGTGATTAAAAAACTTTTTCTTAGCAGTTTTGTCAGCTTGTGAAAAATACTGATGCGGAGAAAGACGAGAGGCCTCAACAGTTCACGCTCCTGAACAAGAAATGTCCTGGAGTAGTATCACTTAACAGACCTAGATCGCCCTCTACTGGAAAGAGTTGCTTCGCACAGACCAGGAATAATTTAGATTAATGCATGTCTGACAAGCATAGTAAAATAAAGAAAAGGCAGGTTGATCACTAGCATCTTTCATCTCTTACAAAACAACAAATGTAGCAGAATCCAAATGGATGTACTATAATCATGTGCTACATGCAATGATTAAATAAAACTCTTGACCAGAAGAAACTAGCTCGCAACCAATTGTCTCTAATTGGGTAAACTCTCACTAAATTATGCTTTGTGAGCACGTTCCAGTTTAATATCCAGTTGCTAATCATTTGGTTATAAAAAAGCATTTTAATTAACTCTATGCCCCAAACAGTAAACTATCAATGGGCATAAAAACAAAAATGAGATTTTAATATTTCTTACATAATAGAAAGCCATGTTCACTTTTGGGTGTTTGAGTGACAGCTCTGTCCTGTACAATTCGGAACTGGGTTTTGCACGGAGAAGTGTCTTTTTTAACCATCATTATTTACAGATGTGATCGTTCTACTTTACAAAACATGTTAACAAGACCCAGAGTGGACTTAAAACCTCCTCTAAAAGACCCTTAAAAAGATCCCACATAGCTTTGTAGAACTGATTACCTCTCCAGAACGCTCCTAACAGAGTGGTTGCAGCTTGTCTGAAACTGAATAAGCCTGACTTATTCAAAAACGCTTTACCTTCTGCAAAGTAGTGAGGGGGTCTCCTGTACAGTAAATGTCCTAGGGTTTTATCAAACATGATATGAATGGAATCTGGTGTTCGTTTCTGCATTCAAGATCCAGATGTTTTATCTCTAGAAGTGGGGGAAAAAACAACAACCTGACAGCCCTTTTCTTATGCCAGGCATAAGTGAAACTCCCTCCCGCCCCCACTCCACTCGGAGGGAATCCACAACACCACGAGAAAACAAAAGGGTACTTCACAGACAGGGCCGGAGGCCCCCCGTTGTTACAATCCACACCCACGCGGCGGGGTTCGCCAGTCTGGTCTTTAATGCGACGTGTGGGCCAGCGGCCGAGCGGCTCTCCCGCTCCGGGCCTAGTTGGCGGCGTGAGGGGGACCCTCCGGGATGAGGGAGGTGAAGAAGGTGGTTATGAAGGACCAGGCTGAGGCCAGGAAGCCAGGGTGGGGGACGGCGTTCGGGTCCTCGGCGGGGGTGTCGCCCCCGTCTCCCCCGTCCTCATCGAGCCCCTCGTCCATGATGCGTTCCTGATGGAAACACACACACACAGGCGCCATCACCCTCTGCGAGACCCCTCCCCCTCCCCTTTATCGGCGCTCGCTTCCGAGGGGGACGGGCTGGTCTCGACTCTACGCCCGACCGCAGGAAAGGAGGAAAGGCGAAGAGGCAAGCCGAGACCACGCACCATCTCCTGGATGTCCTGGCGGTGCTCGGCCTCCTGCTCGTTTGGGTTTCCCCCTCCACCTTGGTTCGCAAGCTCCCCTCTGAAAGGGAACCAGCCGGCCTGGTGTCTGAGGAAATAAACACAGGCAGCCGAGTTACATCGCTGCCGCCGCTGCAAAGGATCGTTCCAATCAGGCGCGCCACAAGACCAAACAAAACGGATTCTGGTCCCCTGACATCGGCAAAAAATTAAAAAATTAAAGATGTGCTATTACAGTTCCTTTCCGGACTGCTGCGGCAAGCCAAGACGGTGGCAGCCTGGTAGCGATGGCGCTTTCCACTGTACGGGATTAGACGTGACGAATAGATCACCACAAAACACACAGCTGGATGGGAAACTATTGTCAGGCCCCGTAAGGCAAGCTTGTCTGGGGGATCAAAGGATCTCTCGCAACAGTTTACAACGCCTCGCCCACTGCGCCGAGAGCCCCGCATTCCCGGCGCTCGGGCTTCGCCGGACTCACAGGTAGACGAGCAGCATGGCGCCCACCACCATGACGAAGCGGCTGAAGGAGGAGTAGAAGTAGACGATGCTGAGCAGGATGGCGGCGCGGGAGAAGGTGTACACCCAGTCGAGCCAGTCGCGGTTCAGGTCCTCCTCGTTGATCACCGCGCCCCCCTGGGCGTTCATCTGCACGTTCGGGTTGGCGGGCCGGTCCTCGGGCAGGGCGGGGGGCTCGTGCGGCGGCGGCGGCGGCGGCTCCGCAGACTGGGGGACCCCGCGCTCCGGCGGCGGGAGGGGACCGGAGGGCTGGGAGGAGGCTGCAGCGGCCCGACTGGCGGACAGACGACAAGGGCCGGTGGGTTTGCGGTCTGGCAGAAGTGTGCCGCTCATTTCCGAGACCTCGCTCTGCCTGAAATCTGTCTTAATCTTCCGACCTCCCGAACATCCTGAATCCCTTCAGTTTCTATCTGAAGATGTTGCATAAACAGCCTAGATCCCAAACGTATTTTAATTGCAGAAAATGACAAAAAGAAGTTGTTACTTTTATGCTAAATTAATGTATTCCTTTAGGAAATACCTAGGAGACCGGCAGGAATACCAAGCGCAGGGCAACTGACTAAAACCATGAAAGTGAACCTAGGCAAAGAGGTGGAGATTATTCTTCCTTCGCTTCCGATTCTTGACAAAGGTCAGGGCACAAGCTTCCAAAAATTAATGTGCTGATCAAACCCCTTAAAGATTCACTTTGGAAACACAAGGTGTTTATACATCTCAAACCCATCTACACTAACTGGCATGTTAGCAGTACGATGGACTTACGTGATTGGAGTGTGATTTCACGTTTACCGTTAAGACTGTTGGACAACCCCACCTGTCGACAGCTAGACAGGAGGTGCAGCCATACGGGCAACTCTTACTATTGCATGTAGTAGTGCCGAGCGTACATCTGCTGCCACCACAGGACCTGCGCTGGGTGGTAAACGGGATACAAGGGGAAGCCAGCAGGAAGTCCTTGTGGCCCAGGAAACTGGTTCCCCACGTGTCTGCAAGGAGAACAACCACATCCAGCACAGGTTTTCCAACTCTGACAGACCCTGGCCTGGCCCTCCCAACTGCTCGAGTACATGACGTCATCTCGACATCCAGCACTGCCAAAGACGATCTGGAAATCTTTCCATTTTTATCATATAGGAAACTATTAATCTCTTTTGTCCAAACTAAAGGACATGTTCTTTGTCTAAACTAAATTCTAAGTCTGGGTCATAACAAAACAAGATGACATAACTACAATGCAAAACTGCGATTAGTTCACACGGACCACTTTCGTTTCACTGACGACCGTTACACGTGGTCCTCATGTCTGAAAAAGTCCAGATCTCAGGTTGTACACGTAAATGCAAATAATGATTTTTATCTCAGCATTTCCCATCATGAAAACTGTGAACCTCACACACTTTTGACTCCTGACAAGTTGATACAAGTGAGAAAGTACTGAGGAGTGTGAGGGATTTCCTGGATTCTGTCAACATCAATACAAGTGCAGTAAAATTGTTATATCTTTGATTCAGAGCTCAAAATGGAGAAATGCTTGAAAAATCTACCAAACACAACTTGAAGGAATTCTCCTTTCATGAAATACAAGATTTTACAGTTTAAACCTGAATAAAAATGGCACTGTTCACCACGCAGTACTTTTTTCCCCCTGCAAAACTCCTGCTGCTGATTAAAGAGCAGATTCATGCAAAACCCAGTGGAAATCTAGGTGTGTCTCAGCCTGCAAACCCCAAGGTGCAGTTTAACAGCACATGCATCCCAACAGAAATGAAACACCTTGAGGGTGTTCTCATAGTGCTTAAAGATAATAGGGCAGGAAACTCTTATTAACTCGCACAAGGCATGCAGTGCACAGAATTAAAGACCACAAATAATAGATGGAAGATTAGGAGGCATCCTGTTCTGAGCTTGTCCTCTCCTGTCTTAAACAATCTTTCATCAAATACAAAAACATCAAGAGACCGGTGTGCACAGCACATTGTACCCTGCACAATGAAGAGATTAAGGGAATATTAAGTAGGCAAGAAAAAACCCTCTGAACTACGTTCACACGACCCACCCTTGCGTGAAGCTGTGAGGGGCATGGTTGTGCTCGGGGCTGGTGGGCTGGCGAGGACTTCCACGATACCGCAGGCTCTCAGAGTTCACACTGCTGGAGGCCAACGGGGTCTCCAGGCTTGGGGGCGCAGCGGGCGAGGACGTTCCCGAGCTCGAAGAGCCCTGGTTAAAAACCAGCAGAAGTTTTTTTTTAAAATGAATTCCCACCACTTTAAGGCGCGAAAGACTCCCGAGGCCCCCTTCATCAAAACACTACTAACAGTTCCTATCAAATTAAGACAACAGGAAAACCCTCCAGACACAATTGAACAGATATACCCATGATTCATGCAACACTGTCAATTACTATAAAGTGAAACGGCTGCCAAGAAAACAATGACTCAAACGATTGATTGATGCACATGATTTATGTCTGTTCTCATCGCAAAAGAATCTTTTCTCCAGAGACTGAGCGCGGAGGACGGAGAGCTCAGTTACTCACCGCGGAGCTGGGAGGGGCTGGCGTACTGAACTGTGTCTGGGTCCTGTTACTGCCGCTGGGCTCCGGAGAGCCAGGTGGAGTCCGAGAGGCACACACTAAGTGAACCATATGATACTCATCTTGCTACGTGAACAGGGGAGAAAGAACACACACACATACGCGCCCAGCATGAGTAAGAAAAGGACTGGAAGACGGTTTTAAAAAAGACAAAAGTTAACCACCTGCCTGCAATACTTCCACTTTTCAGAACTGTCGGGGAATATATTTAATAAAGACAGCTGACAGCATAAAGAGTTCAAAGCCGTTCTGGCCAATGAAAAGAAACCACTGGATTCAACCAACAATGCCAAACGTTAGAATATTCATTCTACTAGGAGGTCTATTATACTATAAGCCAGGGGCTATGTACAAAGATTTCTACAGAAATACAGCGCCTTGCAAACATATTCCAACCCTTTCTCTGGTGTCCCACTTTGTGAAAAACAGAAACGATGTATACACATTTTCTAAATATTTTATTCAAAATCTGTACGCTCAAACTGAAGACTTCTCTAAGGGGAAAATAAGTTGCAGGAAACGTCAGCAAACACTGAACAGGAAAAAAAAAGAGAAACATGTTGATTGCACATGTATTCAGACCGGTGGAAGCACCTTTGGCAGCAAGTGCAGCCCCAGGTTTTTTGGGGATCAACTTTGCGTACCAGTTTAGTGTGCTCTTTGCCCGTTCCTATTGGCCGATTTGTCCCAGTTCTCTCATGTTGCATAGGAGTTGCTTACGGACAGCAGTTTTCCGTTTTCTTTTCACAGATTCGGAATCCTGATCTAAAGATTCTGATGTTATTCGTGATGTCTAGGTCAAAACCACCACAGTTCCTACCTTTCTAAGGACATCTCTCAACTGCAGATGGTCTGGGAGCAGTCTTCCAGAGTACACTAGTCTCTGATCCTTCGACAGCTGCGATTCAATCAAAAACAAGCACGTTTATACAGTTTATACGCAGAAGTCGTTTCCCGGTTAATGTGCGTTCACAGCAGCGATGATGTCCAAAAGATTACTTAATCATAAAAGAAAGTTTGATCTTCCAAATCTTGGTATGACAATAGCACCTGTAGTCTGATCTGGTCAAATCTTAAGAGTCCTCAAGTCTAGCGAGCAGTGGGTGGGTGACCTCAAAAGAAAGTCACGTTGCTGCTGTTAGGAAGTGGAGGTAGTGTTACAGCAGGTAGAGCTCTTCCTTCCAGGCCGCAATTCCCAAACCAGTGCCCCACTACGGCATCAGGGAATGCTGGTTTCTACAGATCTTGCGGCACTGCTCTGAGAAGAAGGCGTGTCAATGTTGGTGTCCTACCCAAATATCACTTTCGGCTTGCTCTTTCTGGCCTGCCTAAATTCCCCCTCATATACACCTACGATTTATGTTCCCCAACCGATCTGTTGTATGATGGGGCAGCTGGCACATAATGTCTGCCTCACATCAGCTAGATAGGTGCTACACTTCAGAGTAGATGGAAGTAGATGTCTTATGGATCTACAAATCAAAGGTACTGTGCCTATGAGATACTAAGTGTGCACTATTCATGACTAGATCACTGTATGAATCCCTGACTGTGTGGGCTTTTTTCACAATAAAAAAAGGGCTAAATCAAAGCTGAAGCCTTAAAGTGTAAAATGATTTAACGGTGAGTATGGATCACATTAAATTTCATTTAGCGTATTCATTTCACTACTTCTTACTTCTCGTCATACAATCCAACACAAGTCTTTACTAAGAGTTCCTATTTCTCATCTCGGATAATAAACAGGCATGTGACCGATCCCTTTAATCCAGTGTATTCCAATACGTTCTTCTGGATGATCTCTGTGGGATGGGGGTAAGCCGAGGAAGAAAACTGGATGTTCACTTACAACCGAGAGCAGGCGGGACCTGTTTAACCAATGGGGTGAAGGGCAGCGGAACACACACCTGTGAAGCCGAAACCCCGCCTCATGAAACACACAGCAGAGACCTGTGAATCAATGAGCTACTACCAAACAGTCTAGACAGGCTGAAACGGCTGGTTTGATTATGCTCCTACAGAAGTACACGTTAGAACAGTCCCATTATCAAATTAAAACTGAACGAAAGAGCTAACATGCCAGCTCCATGTTATACTCCTGCGCTCATCCAGGTAAATTCCAAAAATGTCTTCCTGACATCATTCTCTACCTGTTTAAGCTGCAGCGCCAGTGAATACCTGAGATTTTGCTTCTCAAGCAGAGATGTCAGAGAGATGACAGTTTCTAGTTCTTTGACCTGTGGACACAGACGCACACCGGCACACGTTCTGGAGTCCGGGAGGTCTACATAGCCGACCTGGACAGCAATGTACCGCAGTTCGGGTTTGCAGGGAACATTCATATGCTCAACGTCTATTTACAGCTTTACGACTTCACAGCTTTTAAGAGTCGAAGGACACACTCCCAGAGTCAGCATGAAAAGCTTACCAGATACTGACAGCCTGGCTCTGTGAATATTAAGATTTATTGACATTAGCATTACTCAGGGTGAATAAGTCATTTGTCTCAAATGTGTTTTGGATACTTTTTAATTCCTCCCCTAATCCACTCACTGGTACAGCTGCCGAGTGCGATTTTCTTTTTTTTTTTTCTGCTCGGATTATCTGCAGTGCACCAGAAAAGGGCTTCTAAACTAAAGAATTCTTCCCCTGCTGGGACTGACTGGCTGAAGTGGCTTCAGCATGGTACCATGGTAAACATACTGTACATCTTGGAGCTGGGGTCCGATCCCAACCGGTGTGCAACTGGGAGGAGACCTGTGCATGTCCCTCATTTTCCCTGGTCATGGGACCGAACATGCATGCATAATGTATGCAGCAGGTACTGCACCATAGCCTTTCCCAGTGGGCAAACAAAAAGAGGGTGCACTTTTTCCTGTATACACACCCCTAAGACGTACATTGATTCATTTATTCCAATGAGCTTCTTCAGCATCGACACTGAAGCACGACCCAGAGGATGCAAATGACAACTAAGGGGAAAGCACACTGAAAATCGCGAACGGGAGATGTTTCATCGCACAATGGCTGATGAGAATCTAGAACGAGACACCCAGCTATGCAGTCGAAACCAATACCATCACTTCTTTCATGAACCAGCTGAGCGAGAGACCAGGAGCTAGTCACAATGTCAGGCAGTCCAAATCACTCCTGTGGTTCTGGAAACTGTCCTCATCTTATTTACATAAATCTGCACAGATTTAAGATAAGCCAGCTATGTTTCTTATTTCTACAGTAATAGCCCAGGTATGTAGTAGACTCTAAATGACTGGGAAAAAAAAACATTTCTCCCAGTACACTGGTGAGAAGCGATCACTTTGAGACCCATCCTGTCGAGATGAGCGCATCAACAGTACATCATACAGACAGTTAAAAAGCTCAAAGCCAGGCCTGCTGTAGAAAGCACTACCTTTTGCACTCATTAGCGCACACTAAACATCTTTTGTTGTTCTGCAGCTTAGCCAGGTAGCGGACCAACTTACCGGTTTGCTGGGATAGACATTAGAAAGATGCGATTTTAGTTTTTCCACTGTCCAGTTCAAAAAACAGTTTATAGTCTGATCATCGTATTTCTGATTGGGTGCCTTGATGACTAAGGTCACCGGACTGTCAACTGCACTTTGGTCCATAGTTCATAATAATGATAAACTCAATCTTCTCAAGCTTTCTCAAGCTCTCACTTTCACTGAGTTATGGTCAATTTGTATTCCTTACAAAAGCTTGTCAAAGGCCAACTTAGCAAGAACCAGTCCAGTCCGGTATCAAAGGCTTGTTTCAGGGAAGTCTCACTGGTGTTTTCCTCTGATTAATCTCCAATCTGCTGTACACAGCTGGTACGGGAGAAATGTAGTGCAATAAACAGGTGTACCCTCTGCAAAACAAAGGAATAAAAGCACCATCAAGCTTTAACATCCATATATGAACAAACTGAGTCACAATAGTCATTACATCATTGAGACAAAATCAATTTGGTTTTAAAACGATTAAAAATGTCGAACAGAGATTTAAAACTATAAAGTGATAAATACACAATCATAAAATGCCCCCCTGGGAACTTTCCTATTCAAATTAGTACAATTAGTAGTCAAACAAATCACATTAGCTATTCATTGCTGTTACAGGCACAGTGCCTGGATTTAGCAACTGGGGAAAGGCAGATCTAGTAGATAAAACCCATTAGTCTATTACTGTAGCATTCAATGACAAATTACTTTTTTTTTTTTGTGCTGGCAAAATTAAATATTCTTGGCGTCCCGGATGCAGACCCTAATGACTTTGAATGACCAGTGGTGCAAGGCGGGTGCTGCAGCTGATGGTTTTGAAGTGCACTGTCAACTTTTTAAAGTGTCAGCAGGGGCTAATCAACAGAATGCGACAAAAAGCCTTAGCCCAGGTAACACGGTACATCGGGATGCCACAGCCGGTACAGGCAGCTGTACAGTTAACGGGTCAAGCAGTCACTATGCACAACACTAAAGCCAGCTTTACACAGACACATGGCTTGTTGAAATATTACTGTACATCTCCGGGAAGAGAACAGGTAGGTCATAATCACGGCTTAGGAATTCAGACCTAAACACATGTGATGAGATGCGTCTGTCAGCTGGGTGAGTGCTAGTTCACAACACTGTAACACCCTGCCGGCGCGTTTACCGAGTGTATTCGTGTGCTCATCGGGTTCGAGTCACCTTGCCAAAACAAGGACAGACCTCTCCACCCGCCTTGGATAGCCGCTGGGCTGCCAGTTTCCAACTGGGAGAGAGAGAGAGAGAGGCTGGACAGCCCCTTCCGAAAGACAGCCAGCAACAGCCCCGAAACTCCGACCTCCCGAAGGAAACAGCTGCCTGTCCTAGACCGACCGCACGCCGTGGCGCTCGGAACAACTCCCCCCAAAAAAGATGATTTCCTTACCTTCTCAGGGTACCCCTTTACTTTAACGCCCCCAGCATTTTCGAGCGAACCCCCCCTTGACAGCTTCTCCTCTCGGCTTGTTGTCTAAGATGGAGTCTATCATAATACCGGAAATACGTCACAATACGCGCACGGAGAGCCACGGCAACAGCTGACCGACAAAACAACCGAACTTCCTGCTTCCGCTCTCCAATGCGCGACATTAGGTAAAAGTGAAATTCCTGTCGCCTAGGACGACGTATTACTGTACTTTGATCGGGCCAAGACAGAATGTGAAGCGCTCGTTTCAAAACGTCTCTTTTTGAAAGGTTTTTGACCCATACAATCGTGTGTCCTACTATCACCCTTTTATACGACTGATGCGATAGTAGTGCTTAGAGCACCGATTAGGAAGACCGTATTAACGTGTTGGATTCAGTGAAGCACAGCGCAGTGCATGTCTGCATAGATTCTGAGCATCAAAATAAACGAATCTTCTCACTGCAACGCACTCATGAAGTCATGAGGAGAAGGACAATATTTGGGTAAGCAGGTGCAAGAAGGTTTTAACTAACCTTCGTGAGTTCCTATAAATTCATGCAGCAATGGCGGAGTCGCGCGTTGTCCAAAGGCAGCGGTTACCACTGGATGAGCCTGCAAGCTGCACAGAACTGCTGCTCCGGCCACCACCCTCCTAGTAGCCCGAAGCTATTGTTCTTTTGTTGAGTGGGGCAGAATCCTTTTCATTTTCGCCTGGTTTGAAATGCAACAGGTCAAATAACCTCGTTGCTTATGCTCAGTCAGCTCTCTCGCTGACGAAGCCATTTGGCATTTATTTAAGTCAAAATCCCTTGAGTGAACGGTCAGTGCATGGTCAGTTAAACAAAATGATGCCATAACTTTGGAAGAGATCAAGGAGGTAGCTGTGTCAGCATGCAATGGCTGCAAAGGAAGAAGTAAAGGTTTATTCCAGGCTGAAAAGAAAAACATTTCAGCTGTGGAGCCTTCTTCGGGTGCAAGGTCTTCGCCTCACACCTGAAGAAGGCTCCACAGCCGAAATGTTGTTTTTCTTCTCTTTTCAGCATAGAAAAAACCTTACCTTGCATCCAAAATTAGTATACTTCTAAAAACATGCATCCACGAATACAGTGAAAGCTTTGATGTTTAGTATACTAAAACTAATACTTTAGTATACTAATACTTAAACTACGCAAATATACATCTCATCTAGCATCTACAAAATATATAAAATTCAGTAAGGCAATTTTCACAGTGGATATAGAAACTATGAATTCTTTTTAAAAACCTTTGACCTCAATTTTTAATTTGGATTTCTGCTTGTACAGTACACCTGGACCACAGCCCAGATTTTCAAAAACCAGTACATATGCTAACAAGCAAAACCACCTGAATGGATTCTGCCCAGTTTTTGTAGTTGTACAGAATGAGACCAATATAATTTTACATTCTGATCAAGATGATTTAGGTATACCTTACCTTTTTAAATCCTCAGGACCTTTACACCGGGGAAACAAGACCCCAGGGTTTCCCTACTAGCCTTGAGATCTGGAGCACCTAGAGAAACCCCCACAACCTTGGGGTCTGGATGAGCATGCAACCTCTACTCCAGTAAAATAAGGTTTAGGTTAATTTTTGCTTGAATATCTCTGGCTGACATTTAACCTGTTTGCACATTGCTGTGCATCTACGTCTAATAAATGACATACTGTAACATTTCTAAGATGTCTCATCTCATACAAGACTTTAATTTTTAAGAATTTCAACATTCACCCCATATTGAAATGATAAAAGCATTTCCTACTTTTGTTCATAAACACCCACGAATTTTAATCAGTTTTTTTTTTAGTTTCAGTTCACTTTACTCTCAAGATCGGGGAGAGATGAGAACTGTAATCTCTGTGCTCCCCAACCTAAGAAACTCCACACCACACATCCTAGTGGCCTCTTTCCAGTACTCATTTTGTAATGCATTTGTAATTGAGTGCTTGCATATGAAAAATAAATCAAGGCAGTCATCTTTTAATAACATTTATTGCTTTCATTTAACAATTTAATTTACATTAAAAAAAATATTTCCCCCTAATGTTTACTGAACATATTACAAAGGCAGGATTTTATTTGAAATTTTCACATTTAATCAGAACTAGAGTAACAGACTGGACAGCTGTGAACTAATTTTTAAAGAACCTCGCTTCAGATAATTACAAAAATATGTGACTCGTTTACAAAATCAGCTATTAAAATCAAAATCGACATAATACTACAATACTATTTGTTCTGTGATGTGCATTTGTACCTGCTACCAGATGCTATTTACAATGACAAGTGATATTACAGCACAGACCAAGAGTCTATATTCTATCAGTCACACTGCTGACCTTATCATAGGTTGGATAACTTAAATAATTGTTTGGGGAAAAAAGGCTAGAAATCATGACCCTACACTTGTTTCAGAGAGCTAAAATGAATTATATACAGGATACTGACAGCTGCCAAAATTAAATTATTTTTTTTATAAAAACAAAATTTGCATGGTGAGTGGACCTTTTTTCAACCTAGGAAAAACACAATTCAGTATTAAAAATACTATATAAAGAAGAGTGAAACATAAAATCTGTGTTCCTCAGTAATGAAATTTAGGGTTAGATGAATTTTTGTATCGTGGTGATAAAAATCAACATTATGAAAAGGGGAGACTAGGTGCAACAACAAAATTTCATAATTTACACATTTTCAACAATTTAACTATTTACATATATTAACAGCTTTACATACACATACTTAAAACAATGTATATCAGATGTTTTAACACCATATTGCTACTGTAGTATTAAATGTATCACATCCCATATGACAAACATTTAAAATGTTCCCATTCTTTCTGCTTGGGAGTGTGTGCATATACATGTAAAAAAATACATCTGAAGAATGGAGACAGAATTCAAAACCAATTTTAAATCAAACTGAAAAACCAAGAAAAAAGTCTGTAGATGCATTTTTAATATATTCATTACTGGTACCATATTTACAATGTGTAGTATTTGATACAACTCTGCGCAGTGTGTCTGCATTTGGAGCCATCCAATTAGATTGGGTCTCATGGATTTCGGTCTGTAAGGTGGAGAAAGCAATGGGCTGAAATACTAAGAAACTTCTCTGATCCCAGAAAAGAAAAATATTAAGACACCTATCCTCACCAATTCCCTGTAAAAAGGGGGAGAACAAGAAATGGTATAATTTCTAAGGGGTCTTCTCAATACTTTAGCGAGAGATCTTCTCCGATCTCTGGAGTACTCTACCTGCGCTGTGTACAGTAAAAATAATATTGGAAGTAAACAGACACCAAAAGCATACGCAAGACATGGGGTATTCATGTTTATTCTTCCACAAATAAAGAATCATGAGGTGAATTCCCCGGTATAAGATTCAGTCCTTTGGATTCAGCCTTCTGTTATCAAGGACTAATCGCTAATTGAGAGTTGTACCCTCTCCTGGATTGCACTGCCTCAATGCTCCTGTTTGGGGTGGCTGTATTTTTGTCTCCTGAAATACTCTTTTCCAGGGTATCTTTCAGTTCCCAAGTGTATTGGATCGGATACTCAGTGACTGTCTTTCACCACTTTATATTGATCTTATACCTGTCCAGTCCTCGCGATTTCGGATGCTGTGTGGCAGCTGATGTCACGTGATGCTGTGACCAGCTCACACTAACGTGGTTCATATTTAATGTTCCTTTTATTTTTGAGCCCTGTCACACTACTGGAACAGCCATTGTACTGCACTGATGAACACACAACTGTGGAGACTCCACTCACCCCGATTCTAAGTATTTTAGAAAGTCCTGCAGATAATTGAGGTATAAATTTGAAGTTGAATTATAGAATAAGCATTAACTGAAATTATAACCTACTTTCTCATATTCATTATTCCTCAGTTTCTATAGTTCTTTCAGGGTCTAGATAATGACAGGGTCTGATCAATAATTTTTGGCTTTCCACAGAGACTTTACATACATATATACATACAGTATTTTCTTATAAACACGCCATTTCATTAATTACACCACAAAACACACTACTGAACCTTTAAGGCATTATTTGTCAAATTTAAAGAGTTGGGCTGGTAATTAAGTACAACAAATAAATACAATTTACAGGATCGCATCTTACTTCTGGAAATCAAATTTATAAAATTATAACCAAAACACAGTGTTCAAAACATTACAATCCAAAGCCATCCAACCTGTAGTCTACACAGAAAACAAAAACAAACAGCATTTATTAGAAAAACTGTGTCTTATATTTGTAAAAGGGGGTTGCTATTCATCAGCTTTATAAATAAAATTTGGGAAATTATTCTGTGCAATTGCATTTATACCAAAATAAAGAAGCAAAAACAGTAAACAGACTTGTTTAAAATACTACTCCACTCTCCAGTGTCAAGAACAGACAAAGAAAACTGAACAGGACAGGTGGAAAACTGAAAATGTATCCTTGATACTCATACAAATCCAAGAGGCTTCAAACAGATCTACAAAAGTAACAGCATGTAAATTCCTGAGATGTTTCTAACATAAGAAAAAGGTTACACTATCTCATTGAAGTGATGGTTCACATACCTAAAGTGCACTGGTACAAAGTACAAGAAATGTGATACAATTACAGACAATACCATTTTCATCGACTTTATCTTATGGCCTCTGACAATCTCAATGATTTTAAAATAAATAAAAACATTTAACATAATGATAAAAAAATCATCAATACAAAACAATCTAAAATATATACTCAATTACAGTGAATATTAAATTATATGTAAACTGTAAATGAAGGAGTTTTATTTCTATGACGGCAAATTTCAGCACTGCTCTGCTTCATTCTTGACGAAAAACTACGTTTTTTTAAATTATGGCTACTGTTACCTAGTAATTAAAATATTGCAAGAGAAAAGCATGTTAAAGGCATCTGATTATTAGATGAGCTACAGTTGTGCATGACACCTTGAACAGTCACGCAGAATCCAACTATACATAATGAGGTTCTCAAAAGGACAAAGTTCTTTGAGAACACAAATCAACACCAACTGCAGACACCCAAGAAGGTCAGTTTCAAGTTAAATTTGTGGAACTGAGAACATGATTAGTTAACCCTTCCCAAGCTCCAAAGTATGCAGAGCTGTAATCTCTGGAGTCTTTTGTTAGCACGTTCAATTTTGAAAAAGCAGTTAGTATGCACTGAATGGTTTATTTCTGTTATTCTGGAGAAGATACAGACCTCTCCAGTATACCATAGGTTACCTATGTATAGCAGCATACAATTCACACTAAAAAAAAAAAAAAAGGCTTTGCATTATGGTTTTTGTCAGGAAATCAGCTGTTTAAGGGGATGGGGACACATAGAAATAGAGGTGAACATATTTTTGGACCTTTACTTCAGCATTTACAGCCGTGTTAAAACAAAATAAAAGAGCCGCGAACCACACTAGGAATATGCGGCTTTCTGACAGAGGACGCGTGGAAAAGCAAACTGCAACTCAGCGTCATCAATTAATTGCTTGGGAGACTGTACTGTGCATGTGTCACTGGCTACCAGAGATCAGGTTCTTTGAGAAAACAAAAAGGGTGCACAGATGACACTTAAGTGCAAAAGATCCCACAGCATTTTAAAGCACAAGTGTTCCTGCAAGATGTACAGTACTCCAACTTGTAATGTTAACCGGAAACCTGATGGGGGAAAAAAAAAAACCTGCCTAATCTCGATGAGCACCTGAACACAAGGGCAAAACGTATTCACCTTAAAAGCTTTCCTCTGGAAATCCTCTTTACAAGTGAACAAACTGTAATTTCCAGAATCTGAATTTCAAGAACTCTCTAACCACAACACCACTGCTTCCCACTGCACTGCTGAATTAGCTACTTGGTTAGCTAGATTAACATAATGCCATGTGGAAGGAGGACTCTAAAATGTGATAATGGCTTAAAATTCTTCTGCGGCACTTTCCACCGTTCGGCGGCTAAAATGCAGCTCAAGTAGAGGCTTGCAAAAGCAACCGTTTTGTTTTGCTTTTACAGCGATGTCTCTGCGTCCACATATTTTCCTCCCTGATCATCTTCAATGCTGATTTTAATACACGCCATCTTTTCATTGCTGGGGGGTGAAAACAAGAATTGAAAGGTTATTTCAGCCTTGAATGGTCACTGTTCAATGTGTCAAATGAAACAGAAATATGAGGCAAGCGTGAGAAAAAGCAAATAACACAGCAGCAGCCTTATTCTGCGTGTATCTGGAGGCAAATTCTGAAGTTACTATCTTATTGTTTCTGAACTCATGAAGCATCTGGGACTTTTACCGTAATCATAACGAGAAGTTCATACTAACTACACCAGGAACATCTAAAAATACTCATGTTTTTAAAAATCTAACTTCCCTGTCCCTCTTCTCATTTTAAAGAGCGAGATGAGAATGGTCTTATTAATAACAGCAAGATGCAAGTTCCTAAGCTCTCACAAGGCATAATACACCGTTGCCTCATTTTTTTAGATCTCTACCTGCCAGATACACCCGAAAACAAGTATAAACCACTCAGCATTCAGTTGTCATTTTAGAAACAGCATCTGAAATGCCTCTCAGTATATACTGTATACATAATGCACGTAATATAACTGGTTTAATGGGGAAAAATCACTAAATGAACATTTTAACACATTTCAGCGAGATGCACACTGAATACCTCAGCGACCTTAGCCACCACATCTGCTGACGGTTTCAAGCTCATATTTCAGTTTCAGGTTAAGAAAAGCTGCAAAAGAAAATTCAGCTCAAGGCCCCTCGCCGGCCTGCAGGAGGAGAAGCGCTGCGTTTTCAGCAGAGGGTGAGCAGGCAGTTAGTTAGGGCTACGGTACCTTGCACTACGTTTCAGTACTTTGGCATTGTCGGCACTCATGGTAACAGCTTTCCACACAGCGGTTTTGGCCATTTCATCAGAAATGTTTACAACTGAAGGGTCAGAACTGAAGGGTAAACAGACAATCCTCGTTTTAGTAAGCAGTACCCCATATCACGTTAAGACAGTCTATTTAATACAAGAGTTACTCTGTGTCTGCCGTTAGAAAATGCAATTTAACCCCTTGGGGAAACACACGTAGGCCCTTCCTCCTTCTGTGCTTTTAAATCAGTCCGTTGGTCATGACCTGCGGTTTACAACGCTTTCCAACAAAGTTGTTCAACACAAAAATGACACGAGCTTGGGCTTGAAGGCAAGGTCTTTCCAGAGAAATGAAGGCTGAGCAGCAATAAGGTGTGTGTGTGTTCCTGCCCACGAATTTAGAAATCGACGGGGCATTTCTCAATTTTTCTCAGCTGTTTAGCATACCCGATTAAGAGTTTGCCTTAAAACTACAGCTCACAACTTAGTGAAGAAGTGTGAGCTCAGAGAAGCACCTTTTAGTTTTGGCTTCCAACCAATTTCTCTTCCGTCTGTGAGCAATGTGTTGAACAACTTGGTTGCAATATTAATTCCCTACAGAATTTTAGAGCCTGGTGTCATTCTGTAATGCCAAGCCAAGTTCTCAATTTGCACTGGAATGTAACAAGAGTGCCCATTTACCTGCCTTTAACAGGAAATTAGGAACTCTGGTGTGTTTACTGCTTAATGACAAAAGAAAACCTGCAGCGTTTAAACGCACAAATGAAGCAGCACCCATATTTAATGGCAGCTTGTTGTTATTAAAACGTAGGAGCCATGCACATTAATGAACCAATCATTTTCCTTCATACGCAGGCCTTATGTAAGAAATAACCACCTTTGCTTCCTCATCCTGGGAACAGGAGTCTGAAACTATGCTGTCAGATCTGTTCAAATAAACGCATCAAAGAATAACTACAACAACAACAGTACTGCTGGACGTTTCATTATCAGGATTGCATTGCTATCTGAGAAATGGGATGAATTCAGAACACCTAAGAGACAATGCAATCACAATGTTTCAGAAGATTATTGTCCTTTTCAAGCTACTGTTTTTCAATTCAAGCACAATTTGTAACCTTTTGACATCTAAAATTCAAAGAACATGAAATCTTCAATTATATATGAAAAATACCCCCATAACATTTTGCAATTTAACAAACTCAAACTAATAAAAAAGCTATAGAAAAACGCTGTACTGGTTACAAACTTGTTACTAGTATTGAATAAGTTCCTAAAGTCTTTTGTATGTTAAGTATACACAGCATGATTAATTAAACAGGAATATCAATAATACCACATAAAAAAATCCTTCACTTGCCTGCATTTGAGGGTCTTCACAGGAATCTTTAACAGATTTCCCTCTTCGAAAGGAATCTGTACAGATTCGCTCACTTCCACTTCAAGCATTCTCTCTGCCTCCTGAAAAGGAGGCGAAAGAAATGTCCTGTATTAAACCGTAAAAGGAACCTTTGCACTTTTGCATACCATAATTATTCACAAATCATTCACATTCTGAATTCTTCTAGATGCGTGTACATCTTTATCTTCATGTACATACTGTAATCAGCTTAAGACTATAACCGGTTATTCACTGAAGTTTCTACACTTGAACTCGGCTTGCGATCTGCATACCAGCCATCGATAAAACGAGGTAAAACTCGAAATGCTATGAAGGCTAAATTCAAACACAGTACACGTAAATTTCACCTGCTGAAAAACCACGCCTTAATCACCACGCTAACTCTAACAAATTGCAGGAATTTTGGACTTTTCAGTGACGTGCTTTGGTTCATATGCATGTTGTGCGGAGCCCTCCTTCCTCCTGAAATACATTTAGAGGCCAACTCTCTGACACTATGTTCTGTTATCAGGAGGACAACGCGCTAATGCTGGGGTAAGTACAAGTCTACTAGTCATCAAATGCTTCAAACCTACAAATGGTCACACTTCATCAGTGCCCTGCTTGTTGGCGTGCAGGTATCTCTCGGAATCCCATGAGTACTAAAGTACAGTGTGAGACACCCTCACGCCAGCAAATCTGCTGGCTGTGCTCAAGAGCCCCCACCAAGAGGACAGCGAAATATTTTCAGTAGCGTTTAAATAACTGTAGCACAACGTCCTCTTGTTCTCTCCCCAGAGAACGTGCACAATCACACACAAACCTGAAAATGTACCATGTACCCAGACACTTTGAAATATGAGCTGATAGCAACGCCAAGGGCTCAGACACCATGTGCTACATTTCCTAAATGGCAATAAACACGCGGAAACTGAAGGAGTAACGAAAGCCCTCCAGTTCCCTTATCCCACATGGGATGTAACACAGGAGCGGAGGGCGCGAGTTCCGCAGTTCTTTCCGACGAAGGACCGGATGTAGGAAAGGCTCCACACCTCCTTCTCCTTCTTCTTCTTGTCGTCCTCCTTCTTCTTCTTGCTCTCGGGCATCAGGTCGTCCAGCCAGCTCAGCTCCCGCTTGGTGAAGCAGAAGTCCAGCAGCTTGCGGATGAAGACCAGAGCCAGCACCTGAGACGCACAGGGCGGGAAGAGAGAGCTTCAGGGACCCGAGCGGCGAGCAGAAAACTACCACTTCCTCCGCAGGGCCTCAAACACTCTGACCACCAGAACGCTGCCACAGGCTCTTCTGTTCGGAGCGTTTCTGCCTGATTCTGGATTGTACGACACTATACATCCCCACGATACTACCACGGGAGTTTTCGGTTTTCCAAACGGAAGAGCAGGTTATAAATTTTTCCAGGACAACCATCACGCCTTCACGTGGTCGTTCATTTGAGCGCTTCTTGCTTTCGCAAGAAGACGAAAAGACTCCAGACTGCACCCCTGTCGAGCAGTCAGAGGAACGTGGGGGGGGGGTCTCCCTCTTACCATCATAGGAAAGACGACTGCGGCCGCCGAGGCCTTGATCACCCACAGGAGGACCAAGCAGGTGAGCTGAACGATGGTGAAGATGTGCACTTTCCACAGGGGCACGTATCGCAGGTAGATCAAGTCGGGCTGGTGCTTTGCTGGCATGCCAAACAGCTTTATGCGATCAAAGAACTGTCCACAGACGGGGGAAAAAAAACGAAATAAGAAATGACTACATCCACCCACCCATGATCAGAAAGCTCCTTACTCCTGGTAAGCGGTGCAGTAACTCTGAACCTATCCCAGAAGCACAAGCTACGCAGGACAGCAGTTCATCGCAGGACGCACGTCGGCGTCAATTTAGAGACACCCAAGGTAATCTCGCCATCCACACGTGTGCTGATGGAAGACAGCACCGAAAAATCCACAGAGAAAATAAAACCCACACAGAAGGCAGCCCCGGTCCAGATCAAACCCAGGACCCCGCAGCTGTGAAGAGGCTATGCTCACTGTCGAGTTTACATTTTCCAGAAAAAAAAAGGTCTATTCCAGACTATCTGCTTAATTCATGTAAGGTGCCTTAACTATCTCAATTAAACTCTATGTAACCCGGAATTCTCAGTTGTAGGAATTCCTTGTAACGTGTACACGGCTACAACAAAATGCATCACAATAATGTTTTGATGTTTCTCCCTTGATTTGTGCCCTTACCTGAATGCCTTTCAGTGAAGACGCACCCATGTAAAGAAAGACACCGTATAATACTGGCATGGGAATAAACTGAAAGGAAGAAGAGACAAACAGTTTTTTATACATTTGTACATACATAGCTGACCGAGTCACATCTCTCAGGCCAAGCATATTAAATGTTAAACAATGCCATCTGCAGCTTGTGGTTTGGGAGCCTTGCTTGTGTATTCCTCTCTTCAAATGAAGAAATAAAATATCAAACTCCCCCCCCCACCACAATCAACTGTTTCCCCCTCCAAAGCGGCGAGCTAAAACATGGCAAGTCAAAACCATTCCGTCGGTCTCCGCCCACCTTCAACACCGAGGTCATGAACACGGACAGCCCCATCAGGACGAAGATCATGAGGCCCGTGACCCGCTGCTCCCTGATCCCCAGAAACTTGGGCTGCTCTCCGGGAGCCGAGCACTCCGACTCCACCTTCAGGCTGTTGACGTGGCTGATGGAGAGGACCGTGGCGGCCACGAACCAGGGCAGGCCCATGATGGAGCAGATCCCCAGCATCACGGACACCACCAGGAGATCCAGGTGGTAGCCACACCCTTTCTGCGGCACAGGGGCGGGACAGGACTCGTGTCAAAAGCGGGCTTCACGGGTTTTTTTAACGTCAGAAACCGGAGAGGTGTTTTTAAAGGGGGGAACCGCAACGCTACTTTCACATTTCGGGGGTTAGAAAGAATCGGCACTAATGAGTGACTTTCAAACCCCCGAAGATTTTTTTTTTTTTTGGAACGCACACTAAACCACCATCTAAAATATCCCTGTAAATGGCCTAATCTACCAAACAAAATGGATGTACTGGGTATTCGGATTCCCCATCGTGACAGTGAAAGAGCTCTTTGTTTGACATCAAAACTAAGCCCCTTGCATTATTAATTCACATAAAACGAGGAACAAAGAGGCATTCATAATTATATTTCAGACTGGCTTATTATGGTAGGTGGGCAGAAAAAGATGATGAAGACAAAGGAGGAAGAAGGCTGGACTACAAGCCAACTGTAGGCCAAAGGGAGTGAGTAATGTTCCTGAACAAACAGTATATAGTATGTATGGCATTTTTAGCTCTCCTTGTGCCATTTATACATCTGTGATAAAAACATTCAGTGGGATAAAATGAAATCAAGTTTTGCAAAAACAAAAGTACAATAAAGATCTAATAAAACTACTCCTATTACCTTTACATAGATGAGATCTCAAATTAGTGACTTGGGTTTCAATTTTTTTTCCCTTTCTTTAATTTTTCTGAACGATTTCTATTCATCTTGAAATAAAATTATGACTAGGAGGGGACCGGTTGGAGAGACAGGAGCTAATTAAATCATTAAGATTGAGCCCTTAAGATGGGGAGAGAAACAAATCAAGTGGCCAGCAGCTGCAATACAAAAACTCTGCCATACTTATTCCAGAAGTTTCTGTTCTGTTCACACCCAAGTGTGATTTAAGGCCATCTCAGTCCTCAGTTTGTAAAACTGAATTTCTGGCTGCAGTTAAAACATACACACACAAAAGACACTGTGCCTTGAGACTGCTTACGAGCTAATCGAGTTGCCAGTTACAGCCACAAACACACAACACGCAGAAGCAAGCAGTCACAGGAAGCTCGTATCTGGTGTAGTCCACATGCACCCATGACGGAGAGGGTCAGAGGTCATCTTCACCTGGAAACACCAATACGACGCTTTGACCCCGCCTGTGTACGATGTCCCCATTGAGACGTCAACTCAAATCCCGTCCGCAATGAGCAGCCCAAGACCAGGAGCCACAGGGCCCAAGAGGCGCACCCCGCGCCTGCAGGGGAGTCGGGTGCCCGAGCAGGCTCACCTTGAGCTTGTGCTCCTTCCGGTTGATGATGACGGCGGTGATCTGCTGGTCCATGAATATGAGGATGGTGCACAGCAGCGCGGGGACCGCAGCCGCCAGCAGAGTCCACCAGGGGTTGTCGCCCAGGGGATCGATCAGCCATCCTCGGTGCTTGGACGTGGGCTGGGGAAAGCAACAGAAAGCCCAGGCTGAAGTGTGGGGGTGCAGGCACGTACTGTATGTTACGCTTACATGCAGCAGAAGAGCAAACGGGACTGTGGTTCCACACTGGGGGAGTGGAAGGAACGAGGCCACAGACGCACGCTAAACCACCCGGAAAACTAGAATTTGACTTTTTTTTCGGCACACCTGCAAAATCTTGGGCTGGATTTTATTTTACTACATACTACCAATCGCTACTACGTGATGAGGAACACGTGCGTTTTTCTAAAGACGCAAAAACATTTGCTGGGGAACGTTTTCGCAAGGGATAACAAGAACGCGACTGAACCGCAGGAGCATGGATTTGTGGGTACAGGTCTGAACGCCCGATTAAAACTGAAGACATATCCTACCTCGAAGCGGTCGGGAACGTGCAGTTTGGGAGAGGGTATTCCCACCAGATAATCAACGACTACCATAATCATTATGGTAAGAAACACAGCAAAATCACTGATGGTTGCGCGAACCTGGAGAAAAAACAGAACACATGCGCTCAAATTGCGAAAATAAAAGCTCTGAATTTATTAAACTGAAAATCATGTTTCCATTATCTAATGCGAATATAGGCAGCTTCTTTCCACTTCTATTTTGCTCCAGGTACCAGAATAAATAATGGTTTTCCTTAAAACACCAGACGCTAGAATGAATAGATCCAGCACTCTCAAAACCAATCTTTACCAACATCCAGACAACCAATGCAAACAAGAATATAAAATAAAATAACTGTTATTCAAGTTACAACCAAGCATTCATAGAAATATACATTTGGATCTGGCCTGATAGAAGATGACAGAATGCAGTTCCCAAGACCAGAAAAAAAACACACAGTAGCGAAATCCCAATTTTCCCCACACTGCCTGCAGATGCAAGCCTCCCGTGAAACCTACGGGGAAGCCACACAGTAAGCCGGACTCGTGCGCTGCGATCCAAGGGGTGCCCCGTTACCTTGGTGGGGAAATAGCGCTTCGTCTTGAACTGCTTGAGGAAGGCCGAGAGGAAGAACGTGGTGAAGAAGAGGATGACGGACCAGAAGAGAACGTCAGGGATGTAGGGCCCATGGTGTCCGCAGGCAGCGCCGACAAACTCTCCTTGCAGGCTCTTGCACATCTGCATCGCCAACAACTCGCGTTAGACCCCACACAGAATAAGACTTTGTTTCTGCAGCTAACTACGAATTATTAAGGGGAATGTCTTCATGCATTGCGACCATTTATTGACGGCTGAAACCGCTGTGATTTTTTTCCGTCTTCCGTCGACATTCTCCACTTGACATGTCACTGCTTCTGGCCTCGTTATGTAACCATACCCTGGGGCAAAACTTCAATCAAAATTAATTAAAAATTAAACTTCAATAAAAAAAAAAACTTTTTTTCAGGTGAAGGAGTGGAACATATTATTTGGAACAATCTATTATCTGTGTATTTTTTATTGCATCCCAATATAAAACAACTGATATACCTCAAAATCCAATATATGGACTATACCGCAAGGCTGCGATCTGTGACCTGTCAGATTTGAGCCACAGCTGGAATTCTGCGTGAAATAAGCATGATTTGTGGCATATTGTATTAGCAAAGGAGTGCCAGGGCTGCAGCTCTGTATCTCTGTGCAATGGGTGATGTACTGAGAGCAGCACAGTGGCGCAGTGGTCAGCACTGCTGCCTTGCAGCACTGGGGCCCTGGTGTGGGTGGGTGCTTGCTTGCGTCTGCCTGTATCTGCCCTGCGATGGACTGGCATCCTGCCGGGGGTGTCTTTCACCTGGCACCTGCTGCGTGCCAGGATGGGCTCCAGCCCCCCCCCCTCCAGACCTCGTACTGGATAAAGCCGTTCAAAAACGGGCTGGCGGATGGCTGACAAAGCCTGAGCGACAGACGCTTACCGAAATGTTCAACTCGCTCCAAGGAATTGAATTTGGTGCGAATCCGGTTTTGTTCCAGTGCTGCAGAGTTTCAGCACTTGCATTGCTTGGTTCAGAACACTGGCATCTACGAGACAGATCAGGAAAAAACCCTTTAGGTCTACCGGCTCCATTTGATATTATAATTAAAAAGTAGGTTCGCGATTTTAAAATTGCCCAAGAACTCGAACTTTGCTAAAAGGTTAAGTCACTGACCGAGCTTCACCTGTCGAAATTTATCTCCCATTTCATCACACCAGGGCACTTAAAAACTTAATTCCCTGCACAAGCACATCCGTTTCAATGCAATCTGTGAACTGCGGCTAGATCTGAGATTTCTACACAAGCCCCTACGTGTGCTTTAACAGAAACGCGACCGGCTTACGTATAAAAGGTGAGGTTGTCCAGGTCGTTGTGCATGTTGACCGGATACATTTCTCCCAGGTGGAAGAGCTTCTCTAGAGCTTCATAAATAAATATAATACAGATCAGAGCAGCAAAGGCCTCTTCGGTGAAGCGGGTGATGTAGCACACCAGGCTGCTGGCGTCCGTGGCGACCAGGACGAGACACAGGAAGGCCGTCCACAGACCGATGCTGGTGCGCAGAGACAGGTAGGACAGCCCGTAGTCCCTGAGGGGAGACATGCCTGGCGGTCAGTTTGGACTCGCTACAGCATATCCGCTCGCGAAAAGAGCACGGTCACACCCCCCCGCCCCCCCACAGTCTTCATCACTCCTGTTCCAGACCTGCAGACTGAACGAACAAACTCTGCACTTGCTCTTGTTTGGTGTGTTTTTGTTCTATACAGACCACTCATTGTTGGTTTTTGTTTTTTTACACCGATGCATACCTCGCGTAAACAAGGGACTATTTAGGAAATTCGCCAAAACCTAACTTTAGAAGGATTCAGGGTAAGCGTAATCAGCAGGGCTGTAATTTGAAAGCATCTAATCTAACACGCAGGCCTTCCTTACTTTGAAACATTTGCCCAAAATAATCGCAGAAAAGCATAGATCTGGCATTTTTTTTAAACATCAGTACAATTGCCATTGGCAGCATCTAATCTCGCTATATTATTTGTCTACAATAAAGGTGACCATATGGCTTCCATGTTTACTGGGACACTTTGAGATAGGACAGGATTTAAAAACGTATAAATTCAGCATGATCTTTTATAAGATGAACAGAGGCTTGTGTGTCTTCAATGCGTAACACTGTTTTGGACTAATCCTAACCCAAAATGATGCTTTCAAGTAACTTGGCGACATTGTTAACCTGTCCCCTCAACCATAAACAATGAAGAAACGATTAGCATCACATTTTGTATGCACGGGCATTAATCACCATCTTGGTACAGGAGTAACGCTGAATTGTGTCTTGCAATTTACAGGCAGTTTTAAACCCCTGTCCTGTTTTAAAGTTTCCCAGTGAACACAAGCTCATATGGTCACTCAATCCATAAGCAAACACAACACTCTGGGTTACTGTGGTGAAACTAGGCACTGAGTCTTCAGTTATGGAAACGATGCCCTTTTCATAATGTTGCTTCTATGGCAAGAAAACGTTTTTCAGGGTTATGAGATCTCAGCTTTCAGCAGTTTTCAGGAATCAAAGGCAAGTCCGAAGGCTGCCTGCACATAAAAATACAATACAGCTGTCTCTATCCATAGCGCCCACTAGGGGGCATGTTCACATCAGGGAAATCTTAAATAACACGCCATGGTCTACAGGGGGGAAAAAAAAGGAAGACGGCACCCAAGAGCATCTGAGTAGTTTCCTCAAAGCAGCCTTTTCGTTTTGCAGGAGTATCATAATTAAGTGAAAGAAACGTTTGCTGAACCGAAGGTTAATTGTTGCCTACTGGTAACACACACAGCAATGAGCAAGCGTCTCAATTTCTTAATTAACTAGCTCACAAAAACGTTACTCGACCACAGGAAACGTGGGCAGAGGAAAAACTGGATTCTGAAGTGTATTATTACATCAACTGCTAAAGGGCACCTCGGGTTCAATGTACTGATTAAAAAGCAGGCAATGGAATATTTTCCACGTGTAATGAGAATCAGATCCTGAGCTTTCCATAACGGAAATAGGAATGAAGTGTATATGTAAATCGCAAATACAGAACGGTTTTGCGAGCATGCCGTTTCAGAGCCGATCGTTTCTGTACAGACAGCTCAAATCCTCCCTCAAAATGTACTTACTTGCAAAATTTGAATAAAATCTTTTCAAAAACCAGAACTGGTCCTGTGCTCCCCAATATCGTCAGGGGCTGTCCGGCGAACACGGAGAAGGCGATCCCCGTGAGGGAGGCTCCGAACAGGGACTCTATTGCACTCTGGAACCCGGGGAGGAAACGAGAGAGGTCAATGAGAGAGAGAGAGGTCACTGCTTCACAAAGTCTGGCTCAACATCAGGTCCCTCTATGGGACAGGAGCACGAGTAGCCGACATGCACATTTACCAAACGGAGGGGGGGGATTCCAAATCAGTCTGGGATGGGGGAAAAAAAAAAGTTTATTCCTTTCAATGGCAGAATAAATAGGAAATCGCTTCTTTGAGAAAAGAGCATTGTGGATATCCCTATGGTGGTACACATCCCAACAAGTGGAAATGCCCACTAGTACCAGTGAACACCTTCAGATACATTGTCGAAGTGTTGCTTTGAGTCGGAGGACAAGACGTTGTTGGCAGAGGTCCCACTACAATGCCGCCAGGAATACTTCCCCTTTTTTTCCCCCGGGAGTAAAAATTTCAGGGGTGACGTCTGAAGTATCCAAGTGCACTCAGGAGTGCTGAGCCACATATATTCATAGGAACGTACAGCAACACGGACCCCAGGAATGACCACTGGAAGGTTCTGAAAAGCCGCACGCCGTTCCGCCACAAATCAGTCAACCGTTCACTTCACCACTGGAGTGATACAACGGAGAGTTCAGATTGCACAACACACCGAGGACAAATCAAGACCCCCTACAGCTACAGCTACAATCCTGTTCAGAGAAGAGGATATCCTGTTAACTTTTGCTGGCACAGGCCAATCTCGCCCCTGCTGCAGCAAATCGGTGAAGATCACAAGACAGCGGGAACCATTTAGAACCACTCCGTCGGTCTTCGGTTGTGCCAGTACTCACTATGTTGCCTTTCGTAGCTTCTCCCAGCAGCCCCCCGAAAGTGATGACCGGGGACATGCAGGCACAGTACAGGAAGAGGATAGAAGCCAGACACTGGAGGCTCAGGGCATCTTTGATATCAGTCCAGTAAAAGGGAGCTTTGCGCTTCACATCAAGGATCAACCCCCCAAACAGCCTGTGCAAACACAAACAAGGAAGCATGAAGCTTTAATAAAAGAAGCCGGGTGTCAGCTCTGCTGAGAGACCTTATCTTCACTGATCTTTTATTGATCTCATTCAGGAGACATTAGCAAAGGCAAACAGAACTTTAATTGGTACACTGAGGTATAATTACAGGCGGAAACACCGTGGTAATGGTCATAAAAAATACCACGCCTCCACATTATCCTTAAAACAGACAGCAGAAGAAATACTGAAGAAACGAGGCAATAAACAGTTAAGGATCTATAATGCGATTCACAGAATGCATTGTACCTAATTTTAGGAGATATTTAATGCTTCTGTTTGACCTGGATTTACCACAGCAGCTCAGCCCATCGAGTTTCACGCACAGGAGTTGTGCTCCTCAGTTTTTAATTCCCTGTCAAGGACATTTTTGGGCATCCAAAATGACAACCAGAGCGCCCAGCAGCGTGTCAGCCCCAGACAGCCCAGGCCACACACCCATGATATTGCAACTGTGGTTATTCTGTACATAATGATTTCTTAATAATCCAACACGCGAAAGCCAAGTTCCCTGCTTTTGTACCTGCAAAGTCCTTTTCATCTTTTTAATACCTCTTTAATGAGGGTCAACTGTTCAACGTAACTCGGCAAAACAACGCCGGCCTTGTGTTTTCACACTCATCAAAAAAGACTTAAGAAAGAAAATCCCAGTTTAAAGCCCCTGCCTCAAGTATTTCTGACAAGAGCCTCCTGTAGCTTAGCCCCAACATGACGCAGCACGTCAAATTCTCAGGGGGTGGCCGTCTTTTAAGTCCACTGTTTCAGTTCAAACCGTGGGTCGGTCATTGGAAAGCAAAAGGCATTATTAAGGCGCCCAGAGGTTCTTCTAAAGCGCCTTTCGCCAGAGCCAGTCGTCAGGCCGTCACGTGTCAGAAACACTCTGGGAACCTCCCAGCTGCGCAGGGAAGACGACGTTCACTGGGAGATCCAAAAGCCCACGAGGCCACAGGGGGCACTGGCGGCTCTGGGATTTTCCAGTGGACAAGGGCTTCTGGTGGCACCGGGAGGTCAGGGCTCAAACCCAGCCCGGGCCGGGCCTCAGAGAGCGGAACGAGAGCAGAACCCACCGGCCCGTCCGCTGCAGCTCCGGCCCCGCGTGGTGCTCCTCCTCCTTCGCCGCCTCCGGCGTGGGGGCCGAGCCGTTCGGCAGAGCTGGAATCTTCCGCTTCTCCTGAAACACGGCGGGGACGCAGGGGTCAGAGCCGGCGAGGCACGCCGGCGCGTGCCAGCTGGGGGGGGGGGGGCGGGAACGTTGCGGGGAAACGGGACGCGACACAAACCGCGCGTTCTAAACTGGTTTCCGTGCAAGAACAGACTTTCACCTGAATCACCGGTCTCCTCTGCTCCGCTTGGCCTCCACACGACTTTTCTCTTGCTCTAAACTGAGATCCATCTCCCCTGAATGGCCGCTGTCCCAAATGGGTAAGGGGAAGAAATGCCTTCTAAAGATCCTGGGTCTTAAGAAGGAGCAGAAAGAGGTGCCCTCGGCTCTTACCTGGGACGGGACACTCTTCGGGGGCTCAATGCGTATGGTGGGGTCCCATTCCCCAGGAGGCAGGACTGTCACCTGGTCCAGGAACTCGTCTATGCCAGACAGGAGGTCATTTCTGTCTTTCGCCTTATAAGCAACGTCGTGGAAAACCTGCAGGGAGGTCACGCGCGGTGTTGTGAGGGTCTGCGCTGATTTAATCCAAAAAAAAAAAAAGCTTCCAGCTCTGGGGTGATGTGCAAACAGCGGGGACAGCCAACCGTCGTGGGTTTCTTGGAAACTACACACTACAGAATCGAGCCATTTTGATAAATGGGAGACTACGGTGGCTGGACCTTTACAATCAAAGAAAGCACACCTAATGCAGACATTACTAATTACCTTGCTGAGTGTTTCACAGTTATTCAAACATCCCTCAGGAACGTGAATGTTCATTTTCCACACCACGGGAGGAAATATCACTAGCTAGATGTCAATATTTCATTATAAATGATTTTTTAGAGGATTTCTGCTATACGTTGCAAAACCTAGCACATTCCTTCATATAAACCATATTCATAAACTGCTTTTATAGACATCGGGCACATTTTAAATGTTCCGAGAAGAGATTCATTTTTTTCCATAGATTTCTCAGCTGGATCATGCTACAGGGTAAATTTTCTCACTACAGTGTAGTAGCGCGTGCTGATCCCACACAATGCCAGCAGGTCAGGAAGCCTGGGAGTATCCGGCTTTCACACTGGGGAACAGAAATTACCTCATCGGTCATGAGAGTGGCGATGGATCTTCCAATCTCGTGGTACTGCGGCCCTTTGCCGAATGGACCCAGCAGCAGAAACAAAAACCTGCCCGCAAAAGAAAAGGCAAATGTGTTATCGTCAACCCCAATAAAGCCCAGCAACCCTGAAGCATTTCTAAAACCTTCACTGTCTGAGAACTGCACCCTCTGAGGATTGCTAGAGTAATAAAAGCATCTTTCAAAACAAAAACGTCAATCTGCAACCCCATTATTCCCTGACAGCACGTTCAGAAACGTGAAAAGGTTTGCATCTCTGTGCACCCAGCCTTTAACTTTTGCAGTCTGCACATAAACTGTGGTGTTGCTTTGGCTCTACCACATCCTCTGAAAGATCGGAGCAGAGCGCAGAACAAAGAGACAGGAGGACAGGAGCCCAGCTCCGGACGCAGCTCGGCTTCCTGCCACAAGATGGCAGCGCGTCACAGTTCTGCCTCGGGTCAGATCCTGGCGCCCGGAGGCAGGCGGTGTACCTGGTGGGCACAGGCACCTCCGTGAGGCCTGTGAGAAGCACCGCCGGGGCCAGCCGGACGAAGGCGATGATGGGGCACTCCAGGAAGTCGACCTCCCCCACCAGCACATTGGAGGCCTCTGCTCCAGGGGGGATCTTCTTCATGAAGTTCATGTCAACCTTTGAACAGCAGAAACACGTTGTTCACTAGCGGTCAGAAGCCACAGGCACTCCTCACTGCTTCTGTCACCTGGTGACACTCCCTGGGTGCTGAATGTGCACGGGAAAGCAGCATCTAAGTCTCTATAAACTGGCAATCGCCCATAGGGCTTTTATCAACTGATGAGGAGACAGTATAGCTTTATCAGAACAGACTCCTCTCCACGGTTCTGTACTTAAGTCTTCTCAGAAAGGGGCCCACAAAGTTCTGATGCTGTAGGAGGGAGACGGTTACACACTACAGGTGAGGTCCTGTAGCAGGAAAATATCTTAGCGTCTCAGAATAAAAAGGTTTTGGAAAGACAAAGAGCTCATACTGCCAAATACAGCATCAAAAAAGGTCGGCTCTTGTGCCGAGTAAATATTAAAACAATCTGGAAAAAAATTACTAAACAAACGCCCAGAACGTAAAGAAAATACAGAGCACAGTCCCACTAAATGGACACAGAATAATCTTACGAGAGACAGCGATTCATTCACCACAACAGGACCACAACAGTTACAAAACAGGTATTTCAATCAGCGACAACCTTTGATTTGCACATCAATTGTAACAGATCTGCTCAGATTCTCAAGAAACCTAAGTGGCAGAAAGGTTACAAAACTCACCACGGTCAAGCACTGTATAATTACCAACGCAATGGAGTGAAACGCAAATCTCGGCAAGGAAGGAGAGCTTTCAGAACATCAAAGGCTCAGCAATTTTCTTTAGTGGTTCAGTGTTAAACCTTAAATTCAAATACAAGAATGCCGGAATACAGTCCCGCAAAATTTGGATAGTTAAAACAAATTTAACAAAAAAAATCACCGAATGTTTGGTGAGATTTGTGAGTCATTCCATGGTTAAAAACACCACTACGCACAAGAGTTCTTTCAACCAAACTACACAACAACCAGCAATGACTGGCACCAGACAGGGATTCCAGACACAGTTTATGGCTTGCCAGATATAAAACTTACTCCAATCTTCTTGGGTCCCACACCAAGTGAACCACAGCTACAGTGAAAGGAGTCAGACTCCTGCTCGGGGAACGGAGTCAGACCAGAGAAACCAAGTAAAACAAACAGAGATCGTGATGCAGACATGCTGATCAAACTTGCAGGAGCCTTTTCATCAAGTCCCCGCAATAAATACAATGCCTCCACAGCGACGGAAGGCATTTCTAGAACACCACAACGTGTCCGTTCGATTTGGATACAAGCATTAAATCGATAAAACCTTCACTCGCCACGGGCAGACCTCAGGCAAGCAAAATTTATCTCCAGCAGCAGCCACGCACGAAAGCAAAATGTAGTGCCTTAAAGATATATGTTCCAGTCCTAATATGTCAAAAGCTGAGCTCATAAGATGCCCCTTGAATTTACCCACTAAGACAAAACCCAGGTCTTACGCAGCTCACAGTTCTGAACAGATGTCGGCACACACATGCATTACGATGTTAAAACACGAACATCTGTACCCTAGAGTTGTACGTGCAACGCACGGGTGTGGGCAAAACAAACTGGGCACGCTTTGCAGCTCCGCTTTCTTTTATGTGACAAAAACGCAGCAGGCTTAACGTCGGCGAAGCCCAGAAGAGAAAAGGTCAAGTTTAATTTGTCCTGTGAAAAGCCAGCAAGGCCGTGGTTTAAAAAAACCCCGCGTGCAAGCAACAGTTGAAGACCCGGAGTTTGTTGTTTTTTTTTCCTGGGGGCAATACCATCAGATCAGAGGTCAGACGGGCACAGTTGACAAGGGCCCAGGACAGGCTGGGGGCGCAGGGCAGGAGCTGTGCGGGGGTGCTGGAAGACGGCCTACCCTGCTGAAGTCCATGGTGCTGTTCTCCCGGCTGCCGCCGCCGCCACCTCCTCCCCCTCCCCCTCCTCCTCCTCCTCCTCCTCCTCCTCCGCCGTTGATCCTGCTCTCGCTGGGCTTGGCGTGCTCCAGGTTTCCCGGGGCCGACTGCGGAGACGCCAGCAGGCCTGGAGGGGGGAAGCACACGGCCGGGGGGGGCTCAGCGCGCCGCACGAGAGACGGGCCGGGGGGTTTCCGCACGCGGAGAGACGAATACCCCCCCCGACCCCAGCTCTCGTGCGGCGGCAGCAGCGCGCGTGAAGGTCAACCAACACACCGCCACAGGGGTGGAGGAGAAATATCCGTCGGCTGGTCTTGCTATAATCATCATCGTCGTGTTCCTTGTCCGAAATACACCAGTCAAAATATTCCAAAAACACAGCTCGAATCCAATGGGGCTTTTTAGCACTTTTCTTTTAGACCTTTTCCCCATTTGATGCCAACTCGTATGCCCTTCAACAGACAAGGACTGATTAAAATGTGCTTATTTTTCAGACAAGCCCCTTAAACTGGCGTTTGCTTACTTCATTGTTCAGAATTGAAACCGAATCAATGAAACCATGTCTCTGTCCACTTTGTCTTCTGTGCATACCGTGCAATATGACTCGTGCTGCGATGCAGGTGTTGCACAGGTCTGATCACATACACCAGCATGTTTTATACAGCTTTACTTGTATACATTTCCAAGAAAATAGGCAGAAACTGAGCAGCCTAAACTTGTGCCATTTATCACATTTGTGATAAAAGGTAAAAACGCCAATACCCTTGTCTTTAGGTCATGAAATAGGATAAACCCTGATGGGAACTTCCATAAAACTGCATTTAATTTTTACACTATTTTGTACATAGTGCAGTCTAATACTATATAATGTCATTAATACAGACTGTTGTAGTAATTTGTTTTCAGTTTAAGTTCCTGAAATGCCTTTAAGTTTACATTTACTTAGAATGCTAAAGCAAGTGAGCTGATCAAAGCAGATATCCAATAAGATTGAAGAGGTTAGTTAGGGTTAGAGGTTAATTTCAGCGTTTTGGTTGTGGAGGATACCCAAAGACGATAAAACAGGTATCTTCTCCCTTTTGATTTTCAGCTTGGAAGTAACCTCTACAAAATAATATATGTCATGTAATAGTTGCTAAAGATTCACCTGCTTCAAAAACCATCATCAAAATAATTTGTCTAAAATGTGCAGTTACATGTTCAGGTTTGAGATAATTTTTTTAATGCATACACTGAGATGAGCTAAAACAGTAGTTGAAGCTCACCTTCCAATTAGCACATGTTAATTAGACTGTGCCCGTTTTAAGGGATACGTGTCAGAATGAAAACAAAACTCTTCAGAAATACAGTTTACCTGATAAGACTTTGTAATACATCATGACACAAAATCATCAAACAATTGACCAATCCTCTTTAAATGTGTCCTGTTTACACTGCAAACTCTTCTAATAAGATTACAACCCACCATGTGGAACATTTTACCCTTTTTGAGCAAATTGTCATGCTCCAGAAAGTTTAGATTTTAACACAACACGAGCTGATCAGACTATTCTGATCGACATGATGGAAACCCAGACCAGGATCGCGGAAATCTGGCATCTAAAAGGTCTCGGACCACATCAACGAAAACACAGCTTAGAATCGCAGAAATTGTGTTATAAGGCCGGAAGTGCGCCGTCATCGGACCCACCTGCTGCTGCACTCTACCCACAAACATTTAAACAAGGAGGGCATAGGTAACAAAACAAGCAACCTGGAAAAAGCAGAACCGTGAATTAGTTGTCCATCTAAAATCTGGATAGAGGAATGTAGCACCTCAAGTGCCTCGATTTTGCACGACGTCACTCAACTCAAAATAAAACAGCGTTGGAGCATTGTTCTGTAATTTGAGGACTCTTTAAATAGTAGAGGGGGTCAGAGCATGAGGCCCTCACTCGCGCTCAAGTTCTGGCTGTCCAGAGGTCCACGCTGGGGCGTCCGATTCTAGCCCCGAGAAACCACCGGGTCCTCTGGTTTCACAGACATGCCACGTCTTAATTATTTCCCGGAATCAAGTACGGACCTCGGCAATCAACGCGATGCTTAGTCACAGATGACGCCGCCTATAAAACCTTAAGGCTGGGGAGAAGGGTAATGGCCACTACAGCCATAAAGGAAAACTGGAATCGCGCTGCCAAAACGGCGAACTGTTTTATGAGGGCAGCGAAAGCAGTACCTGTTTCATGCATCTCAAAATGTCCAGAACATGCTAAGGAAAAGACTCATGTTTTATCCCAAGTGAGCAAGTACTTGGCAAAGCTGTGCCCTAGAGGTAGACATTTAGTATACAGCTTTTAAACTTCAGCACATAGATAGATCGGGTAGCTCTCCTAAGATACTGAAGCCATGCAAGAAGACATTACTGTAATAATGCAATTTTACAATAACGCAGGATTACATCACAAAATACATCTGAAAGCCACAATAATGGATCTTAATGGTAGAAGGAGAGGATACATAATCCAGTCTGCTTCTTCACGGATGTTGTCAAGCAAGCAGGATAAAAAAAAAGCCGGAACACAAGTTTGCTGACTCAAACATGCATAACATCCGATCAAATTCCAGATCACACACGGCAAATTAAATATTAGAAGCTAGGCGCTGACCTAGCTAAACACAGGGAATTGTAACAGGAA